CAGTAAGAACCGATTGTAGAATGACATTGTTTACACCGATTGACCTCTGGTCAACCAGTGTAACTCATTAATAAAAAACAACTTGAGATTGGTGTATAAATGTTAGGAACCGGTAAACCCTCCCCAATCCTGGAATATAGGTGTAACTGTTAACAGCACAATATAAGTACAAACTTTAAACATGAATTAAAAAGACTAAAGAAAGAAAGTACCCATCTAAGAGTACTCACGCTAATTGAAAGCTATTTCAAAGACAATAACAATTAGTAAGTAAATCATGTTTCTTAGACTAAAATCTATCAGTACACATCCAATGGATTTGGTGTAAAGTCCTCATAAACAGTCTGAGAAAAGCATGACCTAATGCAATGCCAGTCAGTATCAACAGGATATAGAACCAAAAGTGCACATAACTGTAAACTAAAGAATTTTTATTTATGTTTTAATTTATTAATAACAAAATGAATGTCAGTACCGATAATACACTATTCAAAGATGTTATTACAGTTTAATTGATAACCTTTAATAATAAGTTTATTCAATGGATATATAAGTTTATATGGATTGTATCTAATTTATCAGCTCTATAAACAACATCACCATAAAAATTATGATGCAATATCCCATTTGAAGTAAGTGACAGCCAAACTACCAAGGTTTTAAGAAATTTGTTTGTAACACAATCCCTGTCTTGATAATTTACCTGTGATACATTGATTAGAGAAGTACCTTCATAAAAATCTATCGCGTCAATACATACACTGGCATATAGAATTGGGAAATATAAACACCATACTGTTGGAAATTGGGAAATACAAACACCATACTATTGGAGATTGGGAGATATACACACAATAACATTGGATCAAAAAACATCACCGTCCAAAAAGTAAAAATAATAATTGTCCCTGTTGTCGTTAGTATTTTGTATAGAGTTTCTAGTGTGAAACGGAAAATACCTTAATCTAGGAAAGGATAGTTATTGCTGTTTGAATTAGATATGATTAAATTTAATACCTGTATGTGAATTTCGGCAGTATATATGTCATATATAGAGAATTCTTGATTATTTATCGCTAAAATATCATCAAGGTAATGGTAAGTGCACCAATAATCAGAATTATATAATTTGTACTACCACTGGATCAAATTCCTCGTGGACTACCACTACCATAGGGTAGAGTCCACTCGCGATCGGTAGGCAGTGTGTCAATACCGACATGATACATTTTACAGGTTTTTCTACTCTCAAACATTTTGTATTTTTATTTTCTAAACTTTCTGTCACGAGTTTACGATAAATACTCATCAAAGATACCAGGCTAATGAAGATTATGAAAAACTAATCGAAGATACCAGGCTCATAAAAATTATAAAAACTAATCAAAGATACCAGTATGATGACGATTATAAAAACTAATTGAAGATACCAGGCTCATGAAGGTTATAAAATCTAATGAAAAATACCAGACTGATGAAGATTATACGTTCTTGATGAAAGTTTATCCAGAAATACGCTTCGGATGAATGACATTTATAAAGTGCTTGTATTATTTATAACTTATCAAATACAACAGACTTTGACACTGTTATTAAGTTCTTTTAATATTGATTTTATCGGTATAAATATTAGTTTTGTTAGCAACAATTCAAAACCAAACTAAATAGTATTGCTATACACCTATGACTATTAACGGTTCTTCATTCTGTCAATACCTACTGTTGATTCATTATTATTCGTGGAGTACCAGTTTTAGTGGTTTTAGATAAACCAAGAATTAAAATGTTCAACGAAGTATGAATATGCTATAGGATGTAAGCAAAATTTGATAAAAAAAAAACATCAAATATCCACGAAAATACAATTCATCCTCAATCGACGAAAGAATTAGCACCCACAAAAGATAAACGAATCTACTGTATATTTTGGCATTGCACAGTCATGTTTTCTTAGACTGTTTAAGACGTCTTTACACTAAATCCATTAGATGTTGGATGTGTACTGATTGATATTTTAGTCTAAGATAAATCATTTTTATATTTGTTGTTAGCGTTCAACAAGCTTTCAGTAACTATGAGTTCTCTCAGATCTGTCCTTTGTGTATTTTGTAGTTTTGTTAGTTGTTTTTGTGCTTTGTTTTGGTCTGATGAGTTAAGCCCTTTCCGTACAAAAACGGTACATTGCCGGCTTATCTCTGTGTTCTACAAAAGAATTGTCCATTAGATTGACAAAAAGTCTATCCGCAGTGAAAGAGGGTCTTCAGAAATACTGTGAAACTGCTTACTCGCGTAGTGGTATTAACCATATGTGGATTCTAAAAAACTCTAAAGAACTTCTGGCTAATTTTAAATCTCGATCTTTCTCTGAAAATAACTCTATCAAAAGTTTTGATTTTTCAGCCCTGTATACCACCATTTCCTCGTGTGAAATTGAAAAATCGTCTAAAAGAAATAATCCACGATGCTTTTCAATATAGAAATGGTAGCATACGCTATAAATTTATTACTTTGGGATACCAAACGGCATATATTGTTAACAGTGAACAAAGAGGTAAAACATACTACACAGAGGAACAAGTGATCAGTATACTGGAGTTTCTTATTGGCCACACATTTGTTGAATTTGGAGGTAGACTTTTTCAAAAAATTGTCGGCATTCCTATGGGAACGAACAGTGCGCCTCTCCTTAACGACCTCTTCTTATTTTCATATGAGTCGGAGTTCCTTCAGACACTTGTCAAAAACAAGAAGATAAAAAAAGCCAGATCATTTAATTTCACATTCAGATAAATTGATGATGTTCTTTCCATTAACAATCCAAAATTTTCTGATTGGGTTCTATTGGTATATCTTCCAGAACTAGAAATTAAAGAAACAATAGACACGGCTTCTTCCGTCTCATTTTTTAGACTTATACCTCGAATTTGATATAAGCAGTCATCTCAGTACCAGAATCTATGACAAACGAGACGATTTTAATTTTGAAGTTATCAATTCCCCCACCTTATTAGCAATATACCAACTTCAGCTGCATATGGGATATACATTTCCTAACTCATTCGGGATTCACGAGCTTGTAGCTGCTACTCAGACTCTATAAAACGTCACCAGTGTCTGAGCAGAAAGTTTATGAACCAGGGTTATGTCAAAGAACGTCTCGTCCTTTTCCTCAAAAGGTTCATTAGAAGATACCAAGACCTTGTTGATATATATTCCGTATCAACTTCACAAATAATACATGATGGTCTTGAAGTTAGATTCTAGGTGCTGACGTTGTTTATTATCTTAATTACGTAATATAGTATTCTTTTATTTGTCTTTGTAAACTATTAACCTTTACTGTTTAATCCATTTTTGGTAATATCCTTTTGGCGTGGCTCGGTACTTATACATCCCAATTATGATAATTGTGTTACTGTGCTTTGGTCATTTTTTGTATTCTTGTCTTTCAGTTTTGCTTATGTGCTTATCTATATGTCATTTTGTATTTCTTTGTTGATATATTTCTTTGTTTTCATAGTGATTAAGATTATAACACTATGTTGGCTGCTGTATGTCTATTTTCAACATTTCCCCCTATTATGTCTATTTGTTTCGTTCACACATTACTGTCTATTTAATGGAAAACTATGCGACTGTCATACAAGTGAGAGGTTTAGCTAGCTTTAAAACCAGGTTTAATCCACCATTTTCCACATAAGGAGATGCCTGTTCCAAGTCAGGAATATGACAGTTGTTTTCTGTTCGTTTTATGTGTTTGAGCTTTTGATTTCGCCATTTGATAAGGGACTTTCCGTTTTGAATTTTCCTTGGAGTTCTGTATTTTTGTTTTTGTTATTTTACTTTTTCAACCGATTTTTATAGTTTGTTTATATGGAGCAATTGAGTAATTGTTGTTTATTTCTGTTTGTCATATTGCTGTACACTGTATTTGTTTTTCGTTTATAGTTCTGTCGTACATAAATTAGGCCGTTGGTTTTCTCGTTTCAGGGCTTTTGATAGCCTCTTCGGTATGGGTTTTGCTCATTGTTGAATGCCAAAGGTTGACATAAAATTGCTTACATCTATCATGTCTATGTTGTCTGGCCTATTGTGGAGAGTAGTCTCGTTGACAAACATACTACATGTCTTTATTGTTATAACAATTGTTATATCGCCGCAACCATCTAAACGAAAGGTTTCGTAGATTTAGAGCCACAATAGACTCGTCAATTTATTTAAGGAATGACTGTAATATTTTTTCTGTCTATGAAGAAATAACATAAAAAATGTGGTGCACACTAAATAACCCGCGTAGCGGGTTATTTTAAAGTGTGCACCACATTTTTTATGTTATTTCGAATAGACAGAAAAAATATTACAGTCATTTCTTATAATTTAATTCTAAATTCCATTTTAAACCGGAGTAAACCATGAAAAAACGTTGATGACGTCACGGTCACATGACAAAATTATGTCTATGAGCTGATAAACAAAACAACGTCAGCCAATCAGAAGACGCGTTACATCCAAAATTAAATTATTGGTACATTAATGAATAATTTAAATTGTAGATTTATCAATAATTACTTAATTGAAAACCATTTTCTCTGACTTCTCTTGGAGTCTTTTGTAAACGAAACGCGCATCTGGCGTATACAATTGTATGCCTTGTGTCTATCATGAGCCTTTTTTATCAATGGTAAATTTTCTGTCTGAAGATTGGAGGTATTCACAAATAAAACCTGAAACAACTGCTTGACCTATGTCATTTTCAAATTGATTCTTTTACATTGTAATTTAAAGGTAAACGAATGAAATATTTCATGGTTTCAATAACTACAAGAATAAAGGGGAAAGTAAGACGGTTATGATAAAATTCCGTTATATTCAATCAAATGTACCGGCTTATAATGCTTAATAAGATTCAAGATTCGCCTACATAAGATCCATCTGTGGGGCTATACTAAAAAAGTTGGAAGTCAAACCAAACACAAACTTGAATAGTAGTAAACAATAAATACATATAAAGAAGTTTATTTGTAAATAAACATATACATGACATAAAAAATTATTACATGGATTTCATTACATGAATAACAACAATTTACAATTACATTTATGAAAATGATGTTCTCAAAAGATCTAGAAATGCGGGATTTTATAAATGTACAACTACTACCACATTGCTATACATTCAAATGCTATTAAGCATCTTATAACAATAGTAAAATATAGAGCATCGATGATTAAATTCACATCATGTTAAACACAAATAAGAAAGGTGTTTTTAACAGTAATGTCAAAATGTAATGCAAAAGGGTCACCAATATGACATTAACTGAAAAGTGAGGTTATATTATAGTTGAATATTGAATTTCACAATTCTTAAAACCAGTTTGCCAAGCATTGTGCCATTTTAATTGCTGCTGTCTTCCGTTCTCGTGTTTTGACTTTATCTTATTCCCAAGATATTGGAAGTATTTCAACATACCTGTAACGATTGAATACTTATAGATGAATATCCGTGACAAATGGTCAGACTCCAGTACCTAAGTTAGTTAGTAATGCTGTTACTAGTTATGCTATTGTACGGATAAATTAGATTTAAAAAAAAAAGCTGAGATATGTTATGAGATGACCTCACAAATTCACTATTTATTTGTTTGCACTTTATTCATACAGATAAATTGAAAGAGTAGGTCAAAATAGCTCTATAACAAATATATTTCTAAAGCTATGATACTAGACAGTAGTATGTTGACACACAAGTCATGAACGATAATTAACATGATTTTTACATACATAATTTTTCATCTATAGAGAAAATACTACTGCAAACATTGTTTTGGTGTAAAATGAATAATAAACCTCTTGTTTTGTTTTCTTATGTATAATCCACCTACTTATATTTGGACAAATACTATTAAATTTTAAAATCAGATAAAGAGGTATAAAATATCAAAATATGTTTGTCAAAAGATAAACTGTTGGGTTTGTTTTCATGTTTATATTTTCAGAAAACATACAACGGTTTTTTTCTTAAACTGTTTCTTACTTATGCAAATATTGTTATTTATAATATTTTATGATGTTACCATTTTGACAACTACAATTATGCAAATGCACACCAATTTTATATAAAATGACATCGACAATGATATGAATAATAAAATGTAAAGCTGGGACCATGAAAAAACAACAACATAGTAACAATCAAAAAAAAAATATACATACAATGTAGTTAGAATTATAAAAAAAATATATGAAATGTACAATTCTGTTTAATGAAATTAGTTTCTAGACACAATCAATGGATTTCTTCATTTGTAAAAGACTGAATATCACGATTGAAGTTCAACTACAGCCTATTCTACATACTATTTTCAAAGCTATGGTAGATTTCTAGTCGATATTGATATCTTTTTCAACGAATTCTTATTGAAGATATTGATAATGCCACTTTCTGGTTAACTTGTTTACTTTTCATTTCGATATGCACCATACGAAAGAAGGATTATAAAAAATATAATTGTTTAATATATATCTGAACGATCGTGTACCTGAGAAGATGACGCATTTCATGCTATATTCATATAAAATAAATATGGGGGTATTTGCTGCCAAATAAACAACTTAATGATTATTCTACATAACAATCGTTTTTCAATGAGACAAAATGGCCAGTTATCTACCTTTGACAAAGTCATTCAAGGTCATTCATATGCTGAGTACATCAGAAAAATAATAAGCTTAACGGACAAAAGTATCACTGGCTAATGTTCACTCAGTCGTTATTTTCATTGGAAAATATAATATAAAATCAAAGTATTACATTAATATGTATGAAATAACAAGTCCTATTAAGAATGTAGTTAGTGTATATGACAGTCCCTGACATCCTGCAACAATATCTGTCATGGCTGGATCAGTAACAGGTACGCCTTGTCCTCCTAGAAATGAAACGTATGACAAATTTCAAAAAGCAGAAAAATATATATTGTAACATATTTAATTTAAAAAAGGACAAAAGATAAGAAAGAACAAGAAAACTCATAAGTCAAATAAAAGCAGACAGCATAGTGGTCATATCGTAAATGACGAAAAGACAAACTTTTTTTAAACAAAAAACTAAAGAATGAACAACACAATCCCCACCAAAACCGTGGGTAATCTCAGGTGCTCATATCTACGTAAATGAAAGATGTCCTTCTGGAGAAAAGGTATATTGATCATAGGTTGTGTTAGTAATGTCAAATCAACAAGGAAACGTATATCTTATTGTCTCTTTGACACATTCACTGTTTCCATTCTCAATTTTATATCCATTGTATGACTTCAAAACTAAAATGACCCGCACTTTGTTACTGGAATAACCTTTATCGGATACGTTTGCGACGACAAATGATAATGAAATACAAACCTAAAGTGAAATATGTGACCGGAGACATTTTCCCATCACCTCCATTACTGTATCCCAGCACACGTAACTTGTATATCACACGTTTTTCTATGCCGGTTATGATACCTTCAGTCTTTCTGTTGGTGATGATTACATCGTTATTTATGGCCTGTTTTATATCCTCGTTTGCTGGATACCATCGTAACTAAAATTAAAATTGCTCTCTATAAATCGAAGGAAAAAAGTTATAAAGGTACTGCTGTGCAAACTGTTTGTTATATAAAGCATGTTCATATATAGATATAGGAAGATGTGGTATGAGTGCCAATGAGACAACTCTCCATCCAAGTAACAATTTATAAAAGTAAACCATTATAGGTCAAGGTACGGCCTTCAAAACGGAGCATTGGCTCACACCAAACAGCAAGCTATAAAGGGCCCCAAAAAATTACTAGTGTAAAACCATTCAAACGGGAAAACCAACGGTCTAATCTATATAAAAACGAGAAACGAGAAACACGTATGAACTACATAAACAGACGACAACTACTGTACATCAGATTCCTGACTTAGGACAGGTGCAATCATTTGCAGCGGGATTAAACGTTTTAATGGTACCAAACCTTCTCCCTTTTCTGAAACAATAGTATAACATTATATACCGGTATAGTTGAATTATCATAAATCCAGGTAAAAATTGACAAAAAGAATTGAAAACAAACCATCAAAATTGAAAACGAATTGAGACCAAGTTCCTCCAGAGGGTAAGCATTTCCTACTATGTATTCATCTTCCATCAAAAGATTACGAAGTCATATCCAGTGCCAAAAGGATATAAAGGCAATTTGAAACGTAGTGCGACTCAAACAGCAAACTCCAACCACATAAACATCAAGTACTACAAACACACAACGGCGGTATTCCCATCTAAGAACGTTTTCCAACCGACGATAGTAATTTTCAAACGAATCTCATGTGTTCTGATGAATATATCCGTATACATTAATACTTCTAAATACAGTTTAAGTTCACAATTGTATCATGTATAAACTTTTGATTTATTCGTAGAAACTGTCGCGTATAAATTATCAATTATAACGGATACAAATCATAAGATTATTTCACAAATGCAGCAATGCTCGTATAGATTCACAAATCATTGTCATTGTTTTTTTTTCTAAAACCTTTGCCGTCAGTAACTGTTCAACAATAAACTCTTAAAAAAGTCACTTAATTTGACTGTAAAATGGCTTTACCTTATATCCTATCAGCACTTCTTCATTGATCCCAGTTAATACACCACGCCATTTTACATGTACACTGTCAGAACCATATGATCGGACTGTAACATACTCTGGGTAATGCCTTGGTGCTGTGTATTCAATTAATAATCACTCTATTACATGTATTTCTATTAGTATAAGAAATTATTTAAAGCTAATTTAAGAAAAGGGAATAACAAATTAACGGAAGTTTTCAAGATATGTTCTTATTAAAGGTTCTTATATAATGTACACCAGACAATAACTGCAATGCAAGTAATTTAAATTCAAATAATGTGACAGTGTCCTTAATGAAAAGAGGCCGTGTATTTGCAAAGTCAAACTGATAGTTGATTTGTTTAATATATCCATTATAAGTAAAACGAAAAAGAATTTAAATGCATATAGATAATGTAATCATTTCAACTGTATGGAGCTACTTCACAGCATGTAAAAATATTTTGGGCTTTAAGAAGACTTAGGACAGTTTTGAAATATAATTCTAAAGGAATTTTCAAATAACTAGTTCATTTCTTATCAAGCCTGTATATTATACGTGAAGAAATATAAGCTGTAGTGATAGAAATACAAGACATCCCCATTAAATAATAAAAAAATATGAATTCAAAAATATTTCAATATTTCTTGTTACCAAATAAAGAATTGATTTCTCATATTATAATTGTAATTGGTTGAACATTCAAATTGTGGCGACTAAATGTAATCATTATTTATATTAACTTTTTAAAACAACACATACGTTCGGCATTGGTACTCATTCTTGTTCTCTCACTAGGAAAACTTTCTCCTGCAGTGTTGAACACCTGGACGGTAACCCAAAAATCAGCATTTGGTTCTAATCCAATAACATAGCCCGAACTTACAATACCATAATGATAGGCTGTCACTGATTTTCTGTTTGGATCATTCAAGTCGACCACATTTATCTATAAAAAAACGAATAAAGTTTACATTGAATACATAAGATGTACTTCAGGTAGGCTATGGATAGTTGTCTCATTGGCACTCATACCACATCTTCTTATTTATATCTATCATAATCATACCAGACTTGGCTTGGTGTCTATTCACCATATATAACCAAGCACCCCCTTTTTACACAACAGTATATAAAATCCGTCACTTGTTATTTGGACTAATGGCACATTATATTTTTGAATACATTTTATCTAGTTCGTTGTGTGAGCATTACTGAAGAAACTTTACATGTACTAATAATTGTGGAAAATGTGCATGCAAATTTATTAATTTGGTACCGTTAATGAATACCACTAAGTCGATACATCTGCTGGTGGACTGATAGTACCAAAGGATAGTAACAGTCCAGTATGAGCGTCACTGATCAGTTCGTGAAGACAAAACGCACGTTTGGCGTACAAAAGATTGAACCTGATACCTATGATGAGTGTATCAACTTATACCCAACGTCTCCTGTTAGTCAATTTCAAAATTTAAAGCCATTAATTGCGTTTCTGCAAAGCAGTATCCATTGTAGCTGCACACGCCAAGTTGACTTTTTGGTTTCAACGCAATGTAACAAACAGATAAAAAAGTCGTTGGTCTTAAAATAATACGTATGTAAATGGAAGGATTATGCACATTATACAATTAGTTTTTTTAAGTGAATTTCGATCTACTTTTCAAACTTATTGTAACTAATAATGTTTATTGTTTCGCTTAACGAAAATAACGTTGAAAAAGTTTTGTTGCATTTATCAAATGCATTACTCATTTATCACATAAATAAAAGTATTCTCTATCAAGTTATGATGAAACTGTAGTTGTATTTACCTCAAACCCTTGTATAGTACCACCGATGACTTCTCTGGTATTAGGTATAGGATTCCAATAGACCAACAAAGCTGTACCATTTACACCGCTTCCAGCCACGCCTGTTGGTGGATGTGGAGGAACTAAAAATTGAATCAAGGACAAGTTATTACTTACAATATCTTTTTTCTAACCTTAAAAAAACTTATCCAAAAATGAATAATTATGTCTAGATGAATTAACCACACAGTAAGATCCGACATACTAAAAAAACTTAGTGTCCTGATTGTCAATGAGAAGATAGCTGCAGTTAACCATGTGGTCTTAACCTATAGATATAGACATTTCCTATTATTTCGACACATCATTCCGACCACTGTCTTATCTTTTACACCAACATCCCGCCTGACTGTTATTAATGCAGCCAATTTCAACATATGAGTATATTGTTAATAATCGTCCCGAAGAAAATGAAATCTCATGCGTTTAGACCAGCACAAAATGTTATAATTCGCTGTACATTATAGCATGGAGTTTTCAGTTATCTTCCATCTGACTATAACTATCTACGAATAACCAGGAACATATATATCGATATACTGTTCCCAGGAATAACACAAAGTACAACAGTACCACAATTATTGTGATGGGTCGGTTGGTTCTTGGAATCATTGTCGGTATTTGGTGCGGTTCATATTGCTCCGTCTTTAGTTTTCTTTGATGTGTTTTATATACGGTTATTTGTCTTTTGGTCGGTTCTCGTTGTTTTGCCATGGCGTTGTCAGTTTGTCGTCTATCAATGAGGTTGAACATCCCTTTGATATCATTCGCCTCTCTTTTGATCATAATTGCTTAAACATGTAACTTAACCTATTATATTTAACCTTAAACGACGACACTGACTTTTACAACTTGTTCGTGTTTACTTACTCATTTCAGCAGAGTATATCACTGCCATGGTACTATTAGGACCGATTCCGTATTTATTTCTTACGCCGACCATTATTTCATATTGTTTGTAATAATCATTAGTAGTCAATGTCTTCACAAATTTCTTTTGTCGTCCAATAAGTTCTGCCTATAGATATAAAAGTAGCTAATATTAAGGCGATTTGAATTGTTTTATTTGTGAGACTTTTGTTGAAAATGTGCATATAGTTATCAAAGGTACAAGGATTATAATTTAATACGCCAGACGCGCGTTTCGTCTACATAAGACTCATCAGTGACGCTCAGATCAAAATAGTTATAAAGCCAAACAAGTACAAAGTTAAAGAGCATTGAGGACCCAAAATTGCATACCAGTAATCGTTATTTCTTCCCGTTTTAAACACATTTAAACGAACGCATATGAAAGATGAATCAGCATATGGTGCTTAATTGAGGATTTATATAACAGTTTATTTATCAAGATTTTCATCGTGAAATAGATAGTGCATTTGGCAGTCATCATCTTCATATATTTGTATTTACCATGTTTTGCTTTCCTTTGTTAAGGCAACCGATATCAAACTTTATTTTGCTTTAGGTTTAAATTGCAGAGCTTAAGATGTTTTTAGGTACAATACTATTTTGACATAGATTATTTGTAATGTTGTCAAATTGAACAGTTTTGACTAACCGGTTAATCGGATAATCTTTTGACCAATTAACCGGTTTATCGGTAGTTAAGTTGTTGTGTAAACGCCTTAGTTACAGTACTCTACAAATGCACGGTTTTTTGATACGATAAATTGAAGTTTTCCCTTTGGCATTATAATTCTTAGCTTTGAGCATTCCTAGTGAAGTTTTACTTTTAATTATCCAATACTACCATATCTACTATTTATATTGTAATAACTTCAGATTTAAGAGATAAAATTCTTCTTGATCTCATTTTGATATGTTTCCAAGTTTAACAATAGCAATTAATATACTGGACAATCGATCTGTCAAACTAAGTACCATGAGGATCACTTTAAAATTTAACAAAATTTATTAATATTTTCAATACACATTTACATCAAATCTGTTTAAATTGACAAAAAGGGCCGGTTAACCGGTTAGGTGTTTTTGGTATTCGATATTCGGTCCTTCCGACGGTTAAACGGTTTAAGCACTTAACCGTTGACAACATTTATTATTTGATGTTTTTGTATCATTGGGTTGTTGTTTCACTAGAGAATTCTCGCATATTTTATTCATGAGACATTTGCATGTTGACAATAGTTAAAATGAAAGAATATTTTACATGGAACTTACATATTGAAAAGGGGAATTGTTGTTTTCCTTACTCCTCCAATACACATGGTATTTTATTTCTGGTCCTCCTTCAAACTCTAACGATAAGGGCTGAAATATATGAATTAAAACTTGCTACAAAGGCAAAATATTAAAGTTGATTGGAAAGGGTTACCATATTTTTCTTAATATACTAATATATGGTTTATGGTCAAGTATTACAGGTGAAAAGACAAAAAATCTATATTGGGTTTATCCGTAAATCTTACGAATTCTTTACTTATGAGATTTAACCATTTTATCGGCGTTTCTATCAAACCTATTAATGACCCCAGGAACTAAGATATAAAGCATGTCATGTTTTTTTTATGATTAAAAGTCAACTTATACTCTTCCAAACCACTTGCGACCGCATCGGTTTTTTGTGGGGTTCCTGATGCACAAGTTTTCTGTGTAGTATTTCTAGCCTTTTGTGCCTTTTCGCCGTTTTTTGCCTTGGTTTTTCTTCGACTTATGATTTGTTATTGTCTCTGTGTTATCTCTGCCTTTCTCTTGTAATAATATTAAAAAGGGAACAATTCACTCTGAAAAATGTATGTGCAACTGCGTTTCTTTTTATTTGTCCATTTCATGCTTTTCCCCCCTTTTTTCTGGTTAATGTCGATAGCAATAGCTTAAATGTATACCTCTCATGCAAAGCAAAGCTCTGATTTTTTGTCCGGTGACTGGCTTAACTCTTGGTTCTCTGTGGTTCAATCAGCTCTTCAGTTAGTATTAGTCTATAGATTTTCAAACATGCTGGGCAGTGAAATTGATTGTCCAATACCATTTAGTACAGTAATTTGTACCGTTATTGTATTGGGTAAATATTTTCTTTCCCTTTTCATATAACAGGGGTCAGTTGCTTACAATAAAATTTTTCAATCAATTCTTCAAATAAAGGGCATCAGTAGTGTACTGCTGTTCAATAGTCATAAGTCGAATAAGCGAAAACAAATCCGGGTCACAAACCAAAACCCGAGGGAAACACATCAACTATAAGAGCAAAACAACGGAACAACAGAAATACTGCTACAAAAACAAACTCCAACATACATAGAAACGGATTATTTGATAACAACTGCCATATTCCTGACTTGGTACAGGACATTTTAGGAAAAAATGGTGGGTTGAACCTGGTTTTATGGCTAGCCAAACCTCCCGCTTATATGGCAATGTTAAAAATACCGATAAAATGACAACATTTCGTGAGAGGAATACAGTACAAATAATGGCAAGAACACTCAGGACTGATAAAAACATAAATACATAATATAATAGTACATTACAACATGTACACAACAGAATAACAACGGACACCTGCCATACGGCAGTGCACCCGTGCACTACAGTAGAATTATGAACTGTGCGTGAGACGAACGTATCAACGCCACAAAAAGTGACGTCACAGGTAAATTTCTAAAAATAGAATATAAAATTGAGTTTGTAATGGTGTTATCTTATGTATCTTATTAACCATTACAAGAAAATAACTTACTTGCCACGATATCTGTAAAGTACCAAATGATCCATTACCACCACCTACGTACTGAACAGGATATTCAGGTTTGGCACCAGGTATAGTGTAAGATTCTGTCAAAACAATGGATATAAAATAAAGGAAGAATCACATACTAGTATTTGTTTAAGTGGTACGATTTTCATTCCAGTCTTAAATCAATTATAACTTCTTAAGACTTCTGACAAACATATATTACATTCAAAGTTGACGAGTTGAAATGGCAGAATAAACATTTGTTAGAATTATCTGTCAAAAGGCGTGATCAAGACACCAAAAACGGTTCCAATTTTTTTTTTAACTTTTAGGCATACATTTGTATGTCTTTCTACAGTTATAGTGTACTGTCTATACCTAGTTGGAATGACACAATTTCGTGACCCCATTATCAAAATATTTGGATTGTGTTAATTCATTCACCTCAAAGCTGTGAAATTGGGTATTTCAATCAAATGTATCTATAGTCGTTTAGTAATAAAATAGGAATACATGCACTGTCGTTCTAAGCATTCCCATATCGTAATTCATCAAGTTATGAAGGTACCTTACATATCAGACAAGCGGTATGTTTCTGACAGATCAATGTGATCTATGAGATACAATTACTCACTGATATAAGGGTTATTGAATGACAAGACTTCAGCAATATATCTCAATGTGAATTAAATAATATCGCATGATGCTTTTTGGTTTTATCATTTGGAAGGTTTTCATGCATTTTGTTTCATATGAGTACAAAAATAAGTCGGCAAATAGATGTGCACAATTTGTTTTGATACCGAATGTGTATATTTATTGAATTATTAATCGACAAAACTCAACACATAAACACTGAGATTTACTTAACGTTACAAAACCGCTTACAATATCATATCAGCACTACTATTGAAAAATCAATCTTCACTTATTGTCTGTTCAACTTAACTGTGAAAAGTTTTTTCCAATGGCATCTATATTAATCTCTGTAATTGTTTGTTAAAAGTATGTTCCACTTTAATGAATGAAAAAGTTCGTAGAAATTTTTTGACCACTCTACATGTAACTTATTTATTACTATTGCATATGTAAACCATAATGTATGTACTTGGCTTTCAAATATTTTGGTCTCGACCATACCGGATGAATGCTTTATTGAAATATGCATATTCAAATCACAATTACCGATCAATAGTTATATTAAAAATACTACAACTTATTTATCTAATCCGGGAAAGCGCTTCGAGAAAATGATATTTATAACGTGTTGTTTTCATTTTTAAGGTCTAAAGTTTTTATAAGGCGTTATATTGTATTCAGTGTTGAAGATCATCGAGAAACTGCAATATATTAACAGTTCTTTTGATAAATTGGTGATTTTCTATAGTATTCTAGGCACCTTTTGTCTCATAAACATCCATCCCATATCATGCATATTGTGTTTCAGCTACCACTGATAAGTGTTGTGACTTTAAACCCAAATAAGAGTTATTCAAGATGTGACCCTGTTGACAAGTAAAATAATCCAAACAGTAATTATTTAGACTGGACATCGCTGTAAAATTATGAACTCTCTAATTTAGTTCAAGACCATCAAACAGATAACACGTTGAAGAACAACATTGAGATGGTTTTGTTAGTATTTTCTAGTATTAAGCTTTATCCTTTGTACACAGTATAGTCATCCTATACCTTTAAGTTTCTAAATCAACACTTCAAAATTTAAACGTAGATTGTCAATTTCAGTATAACCTGGATCAAGGACACTCAAGATATACCGCTGGAGAGACTCTAAACCAAAAATGCCAATAAAAATCCTTAGTGGGGTCAATTTGTCTTAAGAAGTGAAATGAATAAAAAAAAAACAATACTTACTTGAAGGTATACTTGGATATCCTGGTACAGAAAAAGCATTTGAAGCAAAAATACGGAAAGTATAGTTGTTATAAGGTAACAGACCAGTTACTATGTATGTTCTCTTTTTAGAATCCGTGCTATCATCTGTTGGAGCATACCTTGCATCAAAATCACTTACTTCTATAAAACAAACATTTCAATAAGGAAAAGGAAAATTTAATTAGGCAATTACCCAATTAATCAAAATAACATAGTATGCATAGTACAGATGCATCAGAAACTCTTTATTTTTTTCATTTTTTTTATTCAACAACAATATTGCACACGCTGTTAACAATTACTCCATTGACACAAATATCTCAGTGACGGTCCCCGTATCAACTTCACAAATAATACATGATGGTCTTGAAGTATAGATTATAGGTACTGACGTTGTTTATCATCTTGATTACGTGTTATAGTGTTCTTTTATTTGTCTTTGTAAATTACATTTACTGTTTAGTCGTGTTTTGGTAATATCTCTTTGGCGTGGCTCAGTTCTTTGGCCCGTCATTATGTTATTGTGCTATAGTAAATTTTTGTATTCATGTCTTTCATATTTGTTTATGTGCTTTGTCTATATGCCATTGCGTTTTCCTTTGTTGACATATTTGTTTGTTTTTATAGTGATGAAGATTATTACACAATGTTGACTGCTGTACCCCTATCTTTTACATTTTTACCTATTATGTCTGTTTGTTTTGTTCACACATTGTTGTCAATAAAATGGAATGTTATGCGACTGTCATACAAGTGAGAGGTTTAGCTAGCTATAAAACCAGGTTTAATCCACCATTTACTACATAAGGAAATGCCTGTACCAAGTCAGGAATATGACAGTTGTTTTCCATTCGTTTGATGTGTTTGAGCTTTTGATTTTGCCCTTTGATATAGGACTATCCGTTTTGAATTCTCCTTGTTATTCTACTTTTCATTGGTACCAGAATTCAAGGATTCTTCATGTTAATACACTGCATTTTGTTAGTCGTTTTCAAAAAATATGAATATAACATCAATGAATAAATAATGTCATTATTTTAATGTATTTATATAATCTGGCGTTATTGTCGAAATTGCATAGCTGATCCGAGATTCGGATGCATTTCTTTATTTTTAAAGTAAAATATTTTACCAATATTCATTCCAAAAGTGAAACACAGCTGGTGTATCATAAAAATGATGTTCAATCGACTTAATGTAAATGTAGTATTTCATGGCATTACTAATATCTTTAACAATAAACAAACCAAGTAAACCGTTATCTTTATAGATCTTTTTTTAGTCGATATTTGACAACATAAGTACATGTATATGAGATTGATTGCTAATGATATAACTACCCACTAGAGTCTAAAGTTTGTTCTTGCATCCACTTATGTTTTTGTTTGTTAAGTACAAATATGACTGCAAACTGTAGATATATGAAAAGCAACGTGTTTTCCTACATTATTTTTAACTTTTTATTTTGATTATTTCATTCCTTCCTTAAAGCTTAATAGAGTTTCATACAACTGTTTATAATTAATTTCGTACGAACCTCCAACCTTTCTCCAAATAGGATTAAATGTAGTCATAGCCTCAATAGTGTAATTAGTTATAGCGCTACCCCTTTCTGCTGGTTTCGTCCATGTTAAAGTTATCGAGTAAGGGGTAGCGGTGCCTTTGATAGCATAAACACCAGCAGGTTCTGCCGGGGGACCTGAAATTATTAAAGTTGTTAGCGTTCTATCGATTCTCTTGGTAATCTTGATAATCTTGCCTTTGATTATCCATTGCATTGTCTTTCCATCTTTGACCATTTTTTTTTATTCCGATTGACTACAGTTTCATTTTGCAAAGTGAATTTTAAAAATTCGTTGTATTACGATCGATTCAGAAATAGGACTAAAGTACACAATTGTTATCTTATCCCTGCAAAAAACGTAAAGTTATAATTCGTGCTTCCGCTCTTTTCAACTTAATTAAACAATAACATGTACAATTTAATTCAAAATTTGCAGATTCAAAATAATTATAGAAGAAAAAAATTCAAATAAGCATACCATGGACGGTTAATTTGCCAATGGCGCTGACGGATGACACAGTTGTTGTCGCCACACACTCATAGTATCCATCGTGTTTAAACTGTGCAAAACGTATCCTTAAACCATGCATGTTGATCCCATTTACCTAAAACAAAAATCATTTTTTGTCTGTTTAAATATCGATTATATATGAATAAAACTCTTTATGGAGAAAGTCATGTTGCTGGTTGTATAATTATGATACCCTTAATTTGACAAAGGCAAAAACACAGAATATAGAATAAAGACCTATGTTTTCTTGGTTTTTGACAAAGAGAATATAAGGTGTGAAATATTCAACGCGAACCGACCCCTTCATTTTCCATTAGTATCTATGAAAAGCAAAATGAGGATGTTAAATCTGATGTATGCCTTTTTGTGCTTCTTCGTTACATTTGTTTGTTTTTATAGTGATTAAGATGATAACACAATGTTGACTGCTGTACCCCTATTTTTGCCATTTTTACCTATTGTGTCTGTATGTTTTGTTCACGAATCGTTGTCAATATAATGGAATTTGATGCAACTGTCATACAAGTGAGAGGTTTAGCTAGCTATAAAACCAGGTTCAATCCACCATTTTCTACATAAGAAAATGCCTGTACCAAGTCAGGAATATGACAGTTGTTATCCATTCGTTTGATGTGTTTGAGCTTTTGATTTTGCCATTTGATAAGGGACTTTCCATTTTGAATTTTCCTCGGAGTCTAGTATTTTTGTGATTTTACTTTTCAGTGGATTATACTGTAAGTCTTATCAAAGTTTAGAAAAATACGATTTAGTTTCAAAATTGTATGTGTCTGCCTATACCTTGCCGTCGATTTAAGATAGAAATTGAATCAAATTTGTAAGACACATCAACTCCATTTCACGTAAATGTGTTATTTAAGAAATATACAAAATTCATTTGAATCATCTTGTTTTTATTAATATTGTCAACTATGTGCTTTTTGAGGATCATAATTTTAAACCTGAGTTTGTCGATATACTAAGGATTTTCTACCCCAGGAATAGATTACCTAAACTGTATTTGACAAAGCCCTTCGAAATTTAGACGTCATTAATGCTTTCCAACCTCATACTTTATTTGGCATTTATAACTTGTTTGATTCGAGCGTCACTGATGAGTCTTTTCTTGAAGAAATGCGCGTCCGGCGTACAAAATAAAGCCTGGTATCTATAAATTATTAACCATTATTATACAATAAAGAGATGTGGTATGATTGCAAATAAGACAGCTATCCACGTGAGACTAGATCACGTAGAAGTTAGCAAATAATTGTCACTGTACGGCCTTCTATAATGTGCAAAACGCATACTGAATACCAAGCTATAAATGCCCCAAACATAACAAAGCGTAAAACAGTTCGCGAAAACCAACGGCTTGATTTAAGTATAAAATAAAAAAACGAAAAAACAAATATACAGCAACAACCGATAACCACTGAATTACAGGCACATACAAAGTGTGGCAGGGTAAACATGTTTGTGGACGTAAAACCAACCCCTGACATGGGACAATTGTGTAACAGCACAACGTACGAGCAAACTATAAAAATCAGTCGAAAACGGCTGACCTCATCAAATCGATACAAAGCAAATCAAACAACTTACTTGAACGTTAAAGATACCAATTATTGATCTGAGAAAACTCGCAATTACTGAAAGACGGTTTCAAGCCAATAACAACTAAGTAAAAAGGGATGTACCCACAACAACATATCAATCAGTTGACATCTAATGAATTAAGTGCAAAGACGTCATACACAGTCTAGGAAATATTGATCTTGTGCAAAGCCAAAATATAAGTATCGACATGATGTATAACCGGAAGCCTTTATATTAGTATAAATAACAGCATAAAAATGCATATTCAGTTATGAATAATTCATTGATAAGAAAATAATGATGAAAACAATATTCAAAGATCTTATGAAAATATAAAAATAAGGAGATGTGGTATGATTGCCAATGAGACACCTATCCACCAAAGTTCAAATGAAGTGGATGTAAGCAATTATAAGCAATCATAATGTCAATTTGATAACCTTTGATAGTGGAGAAATTAGGATGCTGTATCCCGTTCGTTATAGGTTTACAACAGGTACAACCAAATTTCCAAATTAAATCTTTGTATTGAGAAAAAAAAAACTTTAGCAAAGGTTTTATGTAATTTGTAATGGCTGTTAATATTACATTTATTTAAAGAAAGTTCCTTTATATAAACTTTGGTAATATATTTAGAGAATGTTGGAGCATTAGTTTACTTAAACAGTCATGTGTGTTTAATTCGAGTGAAAAATATTTCTATATTTTTTTAAACGTTTTCTGTTCAATTTACAGATAGTGTGGATTTATTGGGTGAACTTTTTCTCTCGATATAAAGTGATATAACTAACATTATACGGAAATTAATTAAACATCAAATAATATTATTAGAAAGACATTAAATGGTAAGATGAGTTTTATTAAAAAGAATAATGCTCAATTTGAAATGAATACAAACTTTTACGAAATACGGATCATTTTCGACATCTATCATCATTCCATTGAATTTCCACACATATATTAGGTCATATTTGTCATAATCATATGATGCTTCGCAACGTATAAACTGAGTTCCATTCCAAGTAACGAATGTTTCATCCGCTGGTTTTACAGGCAGTGTTATTTCATCTACAAATATACGAAACACATCTTTGTTAGTCTATAAAGATAAAGTATTTTCATGTTTTCTAATTAAACCGTAAACACTAACTATAGTCGAAAATTTAAGGATGTGTAAAACAATGTTCTTTACATAGACAATACAAAAAATGACTTGCATCGAAAACACAATCTTAAGTATAACAAACGTTTTCGTCCCCAGGGTCATTTTAGATATATTTATTGGGAATATATTTAAAAAAAAATAACACCAATAAGATATAATTATTCAAAGCAAAAGTTTCTGATTTATTAGGGGATAAACACAGCTATACATAATAGATATTGAAATATTTCCTGTGAAGTGACTTTGATATTTTTCCGCAAGCAAACAGAGACTGTAAAAGAATATCATAGGCTAATGGAATATCATAATTTAAAGAAAATGACCCGACGCAAAAACACCTAAATAACAACAGTCACCAAAAAGCACAGAATAGAAACCCAAGATTTAGCAACGTGAACGCCTACAAAACCATGGGTAAACTCAGGTGCTACAACATGGTCGTCAGTTCTGGTATCTCCAGTCCAGTTAAAAACCGTTGAGTGGAGGAGACATAATCAGTGACAAGCCATCGTAACAAATCACATTAAAAAATTGAACAAAAAAAAAAACTGGTTAATGTGATACCCCATATCGACCAACCCTCCTGCATAAGACATACTAATGGAAACTTACTAGCAACGGTCAATTCTGTCGAAGAGTCGGCTTCACCCAAGTCATTGATTGCTCTGCAAGTGTAAACTCCTGCGTCTCCTAAAGTAACTTGTGTGATTATTAAATGTCCATTCAGTAATCGATGTGGTCCTATGTTTATGTCCATGGTGGTGTATACTGGCACGTTCAATTCAATGCCATCTTTTAACCATGTTATTTGAGGTGCAGGAGCTGCCTGAGGATTGCATGGTATTGTAATGTTTCCATTTAAAGCTGCAAGCATCTTACTCTGTAAGGGACTTTTGTCAAATGAAGGTTTAAATGCTACAAAAAATAGATTATTTATTAAAAAACACATCAAAGATAACAAAGCATGGAAATTGGCCTCCGATTAGACATAACAATCCTGTAAATGAAACACTTTATTCTGTATATGAATAAAGTAATGAAAGCAGCATAACTTCGAACAAACCACTTTCAAAATAATGGTATGCTTTTAAATATATTTGTGACAAAATATTTGCAATAATTGATTATATGAATTGCATAAAATAGGTTAATTGCCTTTCAAATTCATTATTGCCATTCATCTCACCGAAATAGACAGTTGGTTTATCAATTAAATCTAACCTAACTGCAGGACACTTACCGAATTTGTTTCAAATGCTCTTTTTGACTACAATTACATTCCTTTTTGAATATCTTACTTCTACATCATATTCCTTGTATTTGTCACGACATCAAATTTACATCGTAGAAATGAATATGTTGGATTCATAAGTTGACATTTTGACTATTCGTGTTATTTAGAAGCTTTTTGGTACCAATTGCGAAGAAACATTATTCACACGTGAAATTTCCCTACTGTTTTGGTACACTTGAGTGACGAAGAAAAAGTAACTATTTTTCACAAGACAAAACCAAATAACGAAATTGATTGGACTTAACTATAATATATATGTATTGTTATGCAATGATAAAAGAGGCGGAAGATACCAAAGGGATAATTAAAATTCATAATTCAAAGAGAAACCAACAAAACCATGGCAAAAAACAAACGACTATACGGTATAGGCTTTTCTCATTGTTGAAGGCAGTACGGTTGCCTATAATTGCTTACATCCACTTCATTTGAACTTGATGGATAGTTGTCTCATTAACATTCATACCACGTCTCCTTATTTTTATATTAAAGGGAAAAAGGAAAACAACAGTCTACTGGATGTAAAAAACACAGTAAGGCAAATAAAGAAAGAAAAACAACAACCATGTTGATGAATATATATCAATAAAAGAGCTTTGGACGCATAGAAATTATCAAATTGTTGTTATCATTTTATATACTTACAGAGGACTCTTAACTGAGCACCACCAAAAACTGTACCATATACATTTGATGCTCCACACTGGTACATTCCACTATCTCCTAGCTGAATGTTTGTCAATTTAAGAACATTAGAGTTAATTTCAAATTTCCCTGGTACTGAAGTAATCACTTCAGAATCTTTGTACCAGGTGTAAGTAGCTCTTGGCCTGGCTATCACTTCACATCTCCAAGTAATTTGGCTGTTGATGTCTACGTGCATATCTTGTAAAGCATGGATGAAATAAGGTTTAGCTAGAAATAAATATCAATGTTATCATTATTAATTAAAAGATTTAATGAATAGTATTTTCTTCCTAATAGAAACATAAAGGATATGGGGTATCCATCCATAACACAAAATCAGTACATATACAGCAAAAAACACACAAAAAGCAAAGGAACAGCGCTTTTATTGCTGTTCTTCATCTCAAAGTCACAGTGAGGCCTTCACCTCACATCATATATGCCATTTTTATCTATCTGAATGAAAATTAATGGGTAAAATATTTCTTCTAGTCTAAATCAGTGCACAAAAACATATTGGCAATTGGCTCCATTCTGAAATACTGAATTAACTTGATCATGAAGACGCATTCGTAAGCATCTGGGAGTGCATGCATTTCACTATTATCATGGATACACAGTTGTATAACCCTGGGAGTGCATACATGTAGACTTAGTTGTAAGACTTTTGAGGCGTCAATGGATAGGTTCTAAATTTATGTATTTCTTGATTACTAGTACCAAGTAATCAAAAATAAGATGTTACAAGTTTCTATACTTCTTCATCATCATGTCGTACATTGAAAGATAAATAAAGAAAAAAAGACTTTTTCTGACTTTTACAGTTGTTACAGTTGTGTTTAGTCCTTGTGATGTTCATACGGTACCCTCAGTTTTTGTATTTTATCTTGCTGTGCATATTCGAAACGGATTAACAAGATTTGAACATCAATACACGTGCCTTTAATTCTCTATCAATATAAAGCTGGATTTTATAGTTAAATCGTTACCTGAAAGGGCAAAAGTGAAACTTTTTTGCTCAAATCCTTTGGTGGAGCTTACGCTACAGATGTAAGTTCCTTCATCTTCAAACTGGGCATTCTCTATCACTAGGATACGATTTAAGTCTTCATACCGTGCTTTTCCTGGAACTGGCTTCCTATCCCTTGACCAGGAATATTGAAGAGGCATTCTGAATAGAAATTAGAGATAATCAGTACAAGAATAGTTACCAAAGGTACCAGGATTGTATTTAATACGCCAGACGCGCGTTTTGTCTACATAAGACTCATCAGTGACGTTCGGATCAAAATAGTTATAAAGCCAAACAAGTACAAAGTTGAAGAGCATTGCAGACCCAAAATTCCAAAACAAAGTGCTAAATACGGCTAAGGTAATCTATTCCTGGGATAAGAAAATCCTTAGTTTTCCGAAAAATTCAAAGTTTTGTAACAGGAAATTTATAAAAATGACCATATAATTGATATTCATGTCAACACCGAAGTGCTGACTACTGGGCTGGTGATACCCTCGGGGACGAAACGTACACCAGAAGCGGCATCGACCCAGTGGTGTAAATAGTTATCAAAGGTACCAGGATTATAATTTAAAACGCCAGACGCGCGTTTCGTCTACATAAGACTCATCATTGACGCTCGGATCAAAATAGTTATAAAGCCAAACAAGTACAAAGTTGAAGAGCATTGCGGATCCAAAATTACAAAAAATTGTGCCAAATACGGCTAAGGTAATCTATTCCTGGGATAAGAAAATCCTTAGTTTTCCGAAAAATTCAAAGTTTTGTAACAGGAAATTTATAAAAATTACCATATAATTGATATTCATGTCAACACCGAAGTGCTGACTACTGGGCTGGTGATACCCTCGGGGACGAAACGTCCACCAGCAGCGGCATCGACCCAGTGGTGTAAACAAGAAAACGTTTTCTGAACATACCGAATCAATACTGTCAATTGAAAATTTATAAAATATGATACTATAAAAGATGAAAACAACTAGATATCGTAACGTGAATGACTTGTATATATTCAAACCAGATAATAGTGGATAACTGTTTATCTACAAAAAAGAAACGGTTTTCACATATGGATCTAAACATTTCAAAAATTAAATTTATGTCTGTTTTGTTAACAGTTATTGAGGTATTTACCTGCCATAAGCCAAACATTCCAGTCGTAATTCGAATCCTCTCATTGGTGTAGCTGGGTAAACTCTAGGAAAACTGTCTTGTATTTCTGGTGGAAAGTCTGCGGCAGCTGAAAACATGATAGATGATTTTGAACTTTTAGCGTTGTTAATATATAATAAAAAAAATCTGGGAGAATATTTACGGTATAATTTGCCAAATAAAACGTTTGTTGAAAAGATGCAATTTCTAATATTGAACCAGTTAAATTTTAAAAAATGGTGTCGATCAATTGATTGTTTAGTCCCTCCCCTCACCCACAATATATATACACATTCAAACAAAAAAATGTGTGTGCACTGAAAGCTATCAGTTAACTGAAATTTATTATCCACTGGTTGCTCCAGCAGACTCCTTTTCTACCTAGTAGAATAAGTTGTATACACATATTTCAATCTAAAATATCCTTAGATAAAGGCAACAGTAGTATACCGGTGTTCAAAAGTCATAAATCGATTGAGAGAAAACAACTCCGGGTTACAAACTAAAACCGAGGGATACACATCAACTATAAGAGGAAAACAAAGGAACAGGAACACTGAAGTGCAACAAAAACAAACGCCAACATACATAGAAATGAACTATTTGATAACAACTGCCATATTCTTGACTTGGTACAGGCCATTTTAAAAACAAAAGGTGGGTTGAACCTAGTTTTATGGCTAGCCAAACCTCCCTCTTATTTGACAATGTTAAAAAATATCGATAAAATGACAACACTACGTGACAGAAATACAGCACAAACACACGCAAGATCACTCATCACAGAGAAACGCACAAACAAATAATATGATAGTCGACACAACATGCAAACCGCAGAACAACAACGAACATCTTCCATCAACGACAGGCACCACAGGACATCATAAACAGTGACGCACTTACGTAACGAACATGCAATCTCGAACTTTATACAATTATTTTCACAATACCAGTCCAAACAATTTTCATGACAATGATGGTATTGAAAGGCTATTTTATAATTATTTGGAATACAAACGATAAGTCATAACACATTATCCAACCGAAACCATAACAGAAACATAAAAAATTAAGCCATGTGCATTCTTAATCAAGTTTATTCTTTGTCTGTCAACGATGTTTCCGTCCTAACAAGTACAACTTTGAAATTAGAAAAGGAAAAAAAACTGATTAATGAGATTAGCAGGTAAAATATACTACTACTACTGAAATATTGTTAAAAAAAACGTTATTTTCAATCACACTTTTGATGGAATAATAATATTTAGCGAACATACTTTGACCAGTGACCTCTAGGTAAATTCCTTTACTAGTAACACTAGGTGGCTGTGATGTCCACATCTTTTCATCAGGCAGTGACGTTAATGTTACCAGACAGTGGTAGTACCCACTATCCTGAGCCTGAACCTCAGAAAAATATAAATTGCCATCACTTGATAAAAAGTAATACTGATTTAGTGATGTCTGTAGAAATTCATCACCTTTCTGCCACTGGTAATTAGCCGCTGTAAATTAAAGCACAACTTTTTAAGTAAAAAGACTATGTTGAATAGGTCAACTTTAATTCTGTGGGGACAAGTAAGTAATCTGACATTATAGTTTAAAAGCTTTTTCTCATTACACATACACATACCAGAAGATATCTGTGATGTTCACAATGTTTAATAGCAATATTGTCGCATCAGTTTTAAAAAACAGTTGAAACACTGCGTTTTCCGAGTATTGAGTATAAAATCTTGTAAGTACCTCCATTTTGTCTAAAGTTATGTTGATATTTTGAATGTAATCATAACGCATATAAATTGACCAATATTTTTCTAACGACGCCCGTTAATTCAACAAAGAACATGTACAACACTTTTCACATTTAATTACTATGCAATCAAACATGAAAATTAGCGTTGCCATTGTAGAGTTTACTTGTGTCATTTCAGCTCTTGAAAACTGATAAGTTTATTCAGAGTGCACTACAAGTTTTCTTCTAGCTGATAAGCATTATTTGAAATACTTTTAGATTGTTATACATCTTAAAATTAGTGTCTGATTGGTTCCTTTGACGAATTCTTTAAAGGTCGGTACAACACTTAACATTTATAACAAGATATAAAGATATTTCGGTAAAAGGCAGACTTGAAAAGTCTAGAAATTAAAAACTAACAGCAGATAACATACCAAACTTTTATTTCTTTTTAGTTAGGTCTTTTCAAGATCAAAAAGATTTATATCAGTCGTCAAATGTTTTGGCAGAATTTAAGGGTTGGCACTGAATTGTATGCTCGACTTTTCTTTTTCTAGTACATGTTATGCATATTATGATTTATTTGACAAAAGTTAACTTTCAAAATGTGATAAAATAAGTTTAAGAGTAAGAAGTGCACTTTGAATTTTAAAAACTGTAGTAGCTTTTTATGTCTCTTGAACTTTTAATAACAATAGAAACAAATGTAAACAATCAAAATATACAAATCTTTGACATTTGAAAAGACTCAAATTTCTAGTGTTTAATTTCAACTGGATACACGCATGTCATATACGTACCTGGTCTATACGTAGGATGGTTACAATTCAGATATGTCCCTTTGTATAAAGATACATTAAATCGTCCAGGCACCACGTTTGAAAACTCGTTTAAAACTGAAAACAATTTTTTTATCATTAGGTATGCAACTAAAGCCAACATTGACACGGCCTTTCAAAATTTTATGACAATAAGCTTTTACTCATTCATAAGCTGATATTTAAGACATCCCGAATTCGATATTAATCACATCACTGACATATTGGACCTGTCAGATATAATTATAATGCATTTGTAATGGATAATGAAACTTTTAGTTTTTTTACACTTGAGATTTTTTCTGGTAAACTGGAGAACGTCCAATTTTAATCATGTTCATAGTATTACTACCTGGGGGTCGATATCTCTACTGGTGGAATGTAAGTCCCCGGGGTATCACCACCACAGTAGCCAGTATTTCGGTATTGGTATGAAAATACGGATATTGTGTTATTAACATTTACTGTTACAAAATTTAGAAAATTTATTTTAAGTTAAGACTATATCTCTCTTATGGGAAGCTCTGATTCCCCGGCTTTAGCTATACTTTTTGTTCTTTTGATCAATAAGCTCTTCAAGAATTTGATAATTTTAAGATTTTCAAGTATTTTGGCCTCGAGCATCACTGCCACTCGTCTCTAAGACATTCACATAAAGTAATTCATATATAATTTGAATAAAGCTTAAATAAAGGCAACAGTAGTATACCGCTGTTCGAAACTCATAAATCGATAGAGATAAAAACAAATCCGGGTTACAAACTAAAACTGAGGGAAACGCATCAAATATAAGAGGAGAACAACGACACAACAAAAACACAACATTAAAATGTAACACACACAGAAACGAAATATAATATAACAATGGCCATTTTCCTGACTTGGTACAGGACATTTTAAGAAAAAAATGGTGGGTTGAACCTGGTTTTGTGGCATGCCAAACCTATACATTTGCATATACAATCCTGAAAATTTTCAAATAATAATATAATATTTTTTCCTTGTTTCTTGTTACATATATTTAACAACTTCGCAGTAAGATATTCACAAACGGACCACAATTTGTCAATATTAATATATATATTGAAAAATTATTTCTATTGTTCGTGCGTCCGAGGCTCTTCTCGAGATTTACCTTCATCAGGAACGCTCAAACTCAAACGTTCGAAAGGCAGGGATGTATATATACCTAGAAACGATAGGAGCTATATGATCTAAAGGCACTTAAAAAGAATAGTCAAATTCAACTAAGTTCATCTTTGCCTACGGGAGTTGGAACCTTATTTCTAAGTAATTACTTCATCTTTCAAAAGGGGAATATTTAAAAGCAATCTAAACTTGGAGAGTTGTCTCATTGGCACTCATACCACATCTTCTTATTTATATTGTTCTAAGATTTACAGGTACACTGAATCATTTTGCGGCTTTATTGCTGATTTTTCTATCTATGTGATATTTGATAGAATACGAAATGTATCTTGTGAATAGAGACTCAAACTCACATCCATGGGTTATTCTTGCAACATTACTCAGAATCGATCCAAACTGGTTTTCGGCTTTACAATGGTAGTTGCCACTATAGGCAACTTCAGAAGAAACATTTAAGAACGTCAGTTTTCCATTGGTGATAACATAGTTTTTCGATGCTGTAATTATTGTTTTAGCTGTATTTTCTAATCTGTACCACGTGTAATGTGGCTGTGGGATTCCTATAGCTGCACATTCTAAATTTGGCTCAATAGAATGTGATGTGACGACTAGGTTTTTTGGTTGTATTTTCATTGCTGGACCTTTGGGTGCATTTTCATTGTCAGATGCTGAAGAACCATACGCTGGAAATATAACAAAAAAGTTCATTATAATGTCAGTAACTGTTTAATAGTAGGTGAAATATCATATTTCGAAAGTGACAATTTTCATCGAACAAAATAAATGTACAAAATAATTTGCCCATGGAATGAAGCCGTCATCACCAAAAACTCATTTTCAAGATGAAAATGAATCTGTAGATTATTGCACTGCTCAATGGGTATGGTCAAATAACAAAATAATTGGCAACGTCAAAAGTTATAAAAACATTACAGTGAATTATTAATTAATTATCTAATATGCATAGCATAACTTATTTTCTTTATTTTGGGGTAAAAAGAAAGACTAATATCTAAAGTATGTATCTATCATTAACATTCGTAGATTATAATCTTGTAATAATTGTCCGGATTTGGCAATACTTTAGGTCCCTTTGATTTGACATCTCTTCAACGTTTGCAAAAGTTTTCGTTTTTCAAATATTTTGTCATCGATCATCATTAAAGAGATATTTATTGTCGAAATGTGCATCTGGTGCAGTAAAATAGGTACCGTTATTGTTTTATACAGTAATGTTAAAAGAGAGGCGAAGGGGAAAAGATTGTAGTTACGACAATTGGAACATATCCGTCTCGTCTCTAAAACAGATATTCAATAACGTTCAACCAACTCGTGATGGCGTCCGTAAAATTTACGAAGAGATGATTTCGTACTATAACATGTTTTACCTTTGCTGTCCTCCTTACTATATACAGTGTTCTAAAGAATTAGATACAGCAGTACTTTAGTTTTGAAATTCAAGGACTTCAATAAATAAATAAGCATTTGTTTATAACTACAAAATTAACTGTTTACAAAACTTTTTCTACCTCAGGAATTGATGACCTTAACTGTAGCAAAACTTTATGAAATTTTGGGTCCTCAATGTTCTTCAACTTCGTACTTTATTTGGCCTTTCTAACTATTTTTATTCGAGCGTCACTGATAAGTCTTTTGTAGACGAAACGCGCGTCTGGCGTACAAAATTTTAATCCTAGTATCTATGATGAGTTTATTTATCTATTTCGTTTTCATAGAGAACCTTATTAGCTGTGAATTAGTTTAACACATTCGATAATTGTCTTTGTTTAAATTTGGAATTATCATGTTATATTAACAGGATCTGTTTCAATTCTTTGTTTATTAACCAAAAAAAGCAACAGAGAGAGAACTATGTACAACCGCTCAACATGTATCATTCGTCGTGCGATTCAATCTTGTGTCAAAGGACAAATGCCCATACGATGCCCTATGGCAATTTTGTCATCAAGTCAAATTGTTGGAGATACATGTATGCTTACTTAATAGAATAAAAACAACCTTTAGAAAAATGTAAAATAGCACAAATACCGAACTCCAAGGAAAATTCAAATCGGAAAGTCCCTTATACCAGAAGGTGTTTATATGCTTTGCTACTGACTTGAATTTTATATTAAATATTTGAACTCTACATTTTAAATTTCAAGGCATTAAATTGACTGTTCCTTTGAGACAAGTTAATGAGACTTTAACATATTATCTTTAATTGTGTAAATAGGAAAACTTTGACTTTCATAATGCATTAAAACGGGAATCTACATATATAAAACTGCAATCGTCTTCAAATTGTTATGAAATGATCAATTCTAATATAAACATTAATTTTCGGATTATTTTTGTTCATGTTCATTCAAGATGGATATAATTTTTGTGTTGAAAAAAAAAAAACGATTTTGTAAATACTGTTTATAGATACTTAAGCTTTTCTCTGTCTTTACCAACAAGACCTTTTATACTATGCAAAAAGACAAATCTTGCAAAGTTCAAAAGTGTACCGACTTCATCCGCAAGTGAAATCTTGCAGGAAATGTCAATTTAAAACGCAACTTTTCACCATGTAAAAATAAAACAATGAAAATTTTACTCGTTTTGACAACTCTACCTCAATGCCATCCTTAAAAGACAGCCAAACCTAAAGCGCATTTGGTTATCAGAAGTCCTTCCCTAGTATGCTGATTGTTTTTCTTATATTCACTATAACTATCATGGTGTTGAAGCCGCTATTGGTTGAGCGTCAGAAGAAAGTAGTCTGGACTTCTGTACAAGTTTGATTTAAATAATTCATGTTTATTAGGTATTTTTGTCACATTATATGGCAAGTATTTGTTCTAATAATGATTTTCTCCAAATGCAAATTTGACCTTTTTCCAATTTGACTGATTTGTTAAAGCTTTTTAAATGTTTTTATACTTCACCTGTTATTTCAACAGTCAAAATACAATGACGATATTAACTTTTGCTCTATACAGTCCCTTATTGTCTTGTTTGTTACGTTGGTAGGGCATTTTCGAAAAAAGTTTACTTCGTACGCAGGTTCGATGAAAAAACCCGAATGTTTTGCTAAATTTTCAAATTAGGATTTATTGACCAATATCACAATGAATTATAGCTAATACAATGATTAGATTTGAAATATGTCTTTTTTGTTGAATATGTACGTGTTTGCGTTCTATTCATGACCGCACGAATACCACTCATTTTGATTTTCCACGAAAATTCAATAACGGTTAAATTTCCATTGATTTTTTGGACAGGAAACATAGAGCGCATGCGTCGACAAAAAAGAACTTTCAACATAATGTTTTCATGACATTTTACATGTATGAATTAAATATTTTGTTTTTCGACTCATGCGCTCTATGTTTTCGAGCCCCTAATGTGGTTTAAATCTGGCAGATTTTGTCAAATTTCGCAAAAACCTCTATTTTTGACCTCTTTGGGAGTAAAAATCGAATATACATGCAATTCACAGGAAAAGCATTATTGAACATTTATACTAAAACAAAAAAGGATGCATACAATTACCATAGAGTGGCGAAGGATACCAAAGGGACATTCGAACTCGTATTTCGAAAATAAACTGACAACGCCATGGCTAAAAGAGAAAATGACAAAAAGACAAACAACAGTACACCAAACCCAAACACAACATAGAAAACAAAAGACTGAGCAACACGAACCCTACCAAAAACTGTGAGTCTCTCAGGTGCTCTGGAAGGGTAAGCAGATCTTGCTCCACATGTGGTACCCGTCGTGTTGCTCATGTTAGTACAAACCCGGTAAATAGTCTAATTCGGTAGGTCACATTCGTAAAAAGGGAAGGGTATTGTAGTTACGAAAATATGATCATATCCGTTGTCATCTGTGAAACGGATACTCCATAAAGGTCAACCAACTCGTGATGGCGTCCGTAAAATTTACGAAGGGACGATTTTCAACTTCACAACTTGGAACTCTTGGTTTAATAGCTTCCTTGTGAACAACAAACCTCTATCAAGGAAACTATGATAGGAAATATAAGCTCTGGAATATCGTATCAACTGGGAGAAATATACTCCGTATGCGAACGCTGCTTGAATGTTGCTACATAGAAATGGAAAGTTCATAATCGAGAAGCTGAAATCATCTTTTTTGTCGTAAAGTTTTGTTTTCAACTGACCATCATTGTCAATTTCTAGATGCAAGTCAAGATATGAGGCTGACTTAACTGTATCTGTTGTATCCTTTATCTCAAGTTCGATGGGATAGATGCGTTCAACATAGTCACCAAATTTTGAATTATTTAGTGAGAGAACATCATCTATATAACGAAACGTGAAGTTGAAGGATACTGCTAACTTTTTTTTTAACTTCCTAAGAAGATCTAATTTTTCATGATCTTCAACGCCAGATTCTTTTCATTTGCCAACGTCATATGTTAAAGTAAACTAGTCATTTATATTATGTAATTTTCATAAAGTACGATGCTCAAAGAATAAGCATATATTACTCTTTTTATCATTTATCCTTATTCATGCGATATGCCTATAGACCTAAAGCACCAATAATAAACTACCGGTAATCTGGAAAACATTTGAACCAATATATATTTCATTGCTATCTTACTAAAGTCTCGTCTACTTTCAATGATTCTCAAGACTTCCACCAGAGGTATTTCACATATATAACTAGCCAGTGTATCTTCTGTCACTCTAGACCATTTGTATGTAGAGGTTGATCCTGAAAAGGGAAATTTAAATGAATAGAAAATTGTCTCTTTTCATCTCATTTAGTTCCGTTTTGATTTTAAATATTTAATAACTACGATAAAAGGTACATACCGTAAATGTCAAACTCAAAGATTTTTATGACATTTTGCAGGCATAATAATTTTATATATATGATCAGTTAGCTGGACCACTTTGTATAACACTTTTCCCGAAATGGTTTATTTCAACCCTTTGCCACTTCAAATGATATGATTATCAAAGAATATTTTTACAGAGAGTATAATGATGATTGATGTGTAATGTCATTCGTGTGTTGCCACTTCTTCAAATTTACCACTTAAGGCAGGTAAGAGGTATCAAACTAATGAAAATTAATTTTCCGTACTCGCTCCTCATTTTGTTTATGTCAAAAATTGTACAAAGTAATGATAAAGAGTGCTGCAAATTAATTTTAATGAAATTGTAGGATGGTTTCAACAAAAACATTTTTTGGTGAAAAGGAATGATTTTCTGAGATTATTTGTCAAGGGCAAGAATTGATATGGAATTTATTTTCTAAATTGACATGAAAGAAGACGAACCAACCTGAGGAAAAGTATTTGTATGCAATCCGCATACCCTGGTATGAAGACCGTTTATCGTCCAGGCTGATCCAATATCTATCATCGTCATTCCCCGCTGTTCCATCGCCTTCCCACATCAACTTCATATCATAATAAGATCCACTTGTATACCATATTGACCGTCTAAAATCAATTTAAAAGGATTAAGTGTTTAATCATCATGTCTCGAATTGCGCTTTTTTATTTGAAATATTCTGTAGAACCAGAGATGTACAAAGCCATTAGAACCATTTCCAGGTAGAAATCCTTGAAATATTTGTTTTTAACAATCCTTTTCAAAGCCAATGGTTGTCAACAGTAAAAAGTAAAATCACAAAAATATCGAACTCCGAGGAAAATTCAAATCGGAGTCCCTAATCAAATGGCAAAATCAAAAGCTCAAACACATCAAACGAATGGATAACAACTGTCATATTCCTGACTTGGTACAGGCATTTTCTAATGTAGAAAATGGTGGATTAAACCTGGTTTTACTATTACTTATTAAGATATCTAATATTATCTAAAGTACTACAAACTGATAAACGACAGGCTGTTACATCTGATTTTAAATGCAGTAAAGTCATCATAGCAACACAAATGCCCCAGAATATTTTTGTCAATACTAAGAATTTTTTGGGGAAAAATTGCCATTTCATAACATATGAAAGATTATAATAGTAAAAAAGGACCCTAATTTAAGTAATGTTTGAGATAATTCTTACAATCCATGCACAACAGTAAAGTTTGTACAGTATTTTTGTATATATAGACCTGACAAAAAAATCCTTATCATTCTTGTCTAAAATTTATTTACATAATGCATAGGTTAGTATTATATAATTTTATTTCGATTTATATGAGGATGAAGTCCTCAATAAGATTAGATAAATCAGAAGAATGATAAATATAACAATCAACATACTAATGGATCAAAATCGTTCAGACGGTTTTTTGTATGGCTGGCCAACATGTTTTGTCCTCATTCATTTGTAGTCCATGCATGTAGTTTTATGTTAACATATTTTCATGGTCACCAGTATAGTCGTCTGATCTGTAATTTTTACCAAATTGCGTCCTATTCCCGATTGTGACATTTTGACCGAGTGCGAGTGATGCATGCGTAGCAGGAGACGTCTACAATGTCGACACAAACGGTCTCGTACTTTTTGATCTTCATACGATTCTCTCAGTTTTTGTTTTTTACCTTGATTTGTCTCTTTTTAATTGATTTACGTGATCTGAACATCGGTAAACTATTGTCCCATTAATTTATTGCGTTCCAGGATGTAAAATGTGTTTATTCAAGATAAAATTTCCTTTTAATTTAAAGAGATGTGCAATGCAGATTCTTTACGGGTTTTTGGGAAAAAACATTCATCAGATAGATTCGAGACCTCACGTTTAGAAATGTCAAATAAAAAAAAAAGAAAACAATCTTATTTATGAACTATTTACTTACCCTTGAATATTATACTGATTTATATTTGATGTTACAAAATTGTTTTCGTCATCGGTGTTTACACTTACTAGCCCCGCACCTTTAGCCTAGAATGTAACATTATAGTAATAATATAGTAACAACTTAATACAATGTATGATATGGAAAATGGATATGACAATGTATTCTTTTTTACATATACGTATTGTGCTTGATTTCATATGACGAAAACATAATCTTTCAATCAGTTTAATTGATGTCTGGAGCTGGCATGTCAGTAACTGCTAGTACTCTTTGGTTAATTTATGTCATTCTCATTTTGCTTTGTTTCTTCTGTTACCTATTCTGACATCGGACTCGGACTTCTTTTAAATGGAGTTTTACTGTGCGTATTGCTGTGTGTTTGTTTATTCTACATTGGCTAGAGGTATAGGGGGAGGGTTGAAATCTCAGAAAACATGTTTAACCCAGCCGCATTTTTGCACCTGCCCCAAGTCAGGAGCTTCTGACCTTTGTTAGTCTTGTAGGTTTTTTGAATTTTAGTTCATTTATATGTTTCGGAATTGAGGGGGGCCCATTTTCACTGAACTTGTACACACTTGTGTTTAGGGGCCAGCTGAAGCCCGCCTCTGTGTGCGGGATTTTCTTGCTGCGTTGAAGGCCCATTGGTTGCCTTGGGCTGTTTTCTGCTCTTTGGGTTGTTGTCTCTTTGACACATTCCCCATTTCCATTCTCAATTTGAGTCTTATGCATTTATAACAAACGTTTTGATTTGGACATCGTGTCTATGGATGGTGTGATATATTCGGTGCATAGACCTTTGGGGATTCAATACATGCACCAAACTGTTGGTCATACTATTATTAAAGCTCAATTCAATATCTCAACATACCGCCTCAAGGTAGCGTGTTCGCCTCGAGTGCGGGATGTCGTGGGTTCGAACCCCGACCGGGTCAAAACAAGGACTGAAAGATTGGTATTTGCTGCTTTTCCGCTAAGCACGCGGCATTTAGGAGTACGAGCAAAGACTGGTCGGCTCGGAGTCAGAATAATGTGTCCGGGTAAGGTGCCATGTCTTCCTGCGGACTGTTACCTTGTGAACTAGCACGTAAAAAATCCGGCTCAGCGTGTCGGTCTAGTACAAAACAGGGTTGCATCGGGTTGTTGTCTCTTTGACACATTCCCCATTTCCATTCTCAATTTTATTGATATTCATATTACATTAACATAATCTCGTCCTGAATATGCATATTAATTTGCCGCTGGACGTTAAACAGCCATTCATCATCATCATCATCTTCATCAATATCTCAACTTTCTTTATTGGTACCAATTATGCTAGAACAGATTGGTTGCAATATTCATGGACATTGGTAACTATCAAGCTAGTGTCAACCACTTACAAACCGAACCTATTGCATCCAAGATTTTCAACCACAAGAGGACAATAAATACCTTTACCCTCAAAGATGAAAAATCCAGATGAACTTTATCTGTATGGATTAAAGTGTTTTCGAACTTGCATTCAGAGACGCATTGAAATTCTTCGACGTAAAATGAGCACAGTAGTTTCTGAGTCTTTCAAAAAGCTCGAGGTTGTTGATAAATGAGGGACGAAAGATACCAGAGGGACAGTCAAACTCATAGATCGAAAACAAACTGACAACGTCATTGCCAAAAAATAAAAAGACAAACAGACAAATAATAGTACAGATGACACAACATAGAAAACGAAATACTAAGCAACACGAACCCCACCAAAAACTGGGGATGATCTCAGGTGCTCCGGAAGGGTAAGCAGATCCTGTTCCACATGTGGTACCCGTCGTGTTGCTTATGTTATTACAAGTCCGGTAAATAGTCTTATTCGGTAGGTCACATTCGTGAAAAGGGAAGGGTATTGTAGTTACGACATAAGGAACATATCCGATATCATCTGTGAAACGGTTATTGGTTCGTGTTGCTTAGTCTTTAGTTTTCTATGTTGTGTCATCTGTACTATTATTTGTCAGTTTGTTTTTTTATTTTTGGCCTGGCTTTGTCAGTTTGTTTTCGATCTATGAGTTTGACTATCCCTCTGGTATCCTTTGTCCCTCTTTTATTCCATAACGGTCAACCAACTCGTGATGGCGTCCGTAAAATTTACGAAGGGATGATTTCAAGTTCACCATTTGGAACTCTTGGTTTAATAGCTTCCTTGGGAGCAGCAATCCTCTAAATTATCCTCTCTTAGCAGACAAAGCCCCTAACAACGTTGTTTTATATGCAAAAATCATAAGTTGGAAGGTCTGACTTAAGAACTCGGAATTCTAAATATATTCCTACATCATTCACGAATGAGGAGGTTTAGAAAACCACAAAGCATCCTAACTATATCATGTTGTGAATGGTATTCATTTGGACGAATTGAAAATATTTATATATTTCTCTAAAAATTTGAAAATAGTCCGAATTGTATAATATCGGTGTACTGATCTTTACAGCAGGTAATATTTCAAGGATTTCTTACTTTTTCTGAATGTCAATCTTACAGTGTCTGCTTTTGGATAAACTCCATTAAAATTGAAGTTAAAATATGAATAAATGGTTTATATGAAAAGAGTCTTATTTTTTTTCAGTTTCAGCAGTAATCCGTTGTATTTTCGAAGTAAAGTGTAAGCTTAAATTACGCCTATACGAATCAAAGAATATGATAATTGCCTTTCAGACGCTACAATAAATGGTCTGATCCCAGCCTTTTTGTTGGGCGGTATTAGCGTCCCAGTAAATGATACCTCTTCCAATCAATAACGTGTGAAACGAATTTTGTTCCTATATTGCAACAATTATTTAACTGGTCAGTAGTTCCTTATATCGTATGGTCGATATTGTGCAGTGGTGATTCATTTTTTACTTCACTTACCAAGCATGTTTTGTCGGCAACCTCGTAAGACAGGAGTGGATAGACTTTGAATAAATAACAATTATTGTTGAAAAGAATCCATTCCAGTGGACATTCTAAAATAAACAATCAATTAATCAAAACACTCTCTAAACTTGATGGCAAAGGAGTGACAATGACGAGTTTCTAAATATTAAAAACAAAGATTATAATTATATATTTAAAACAACAGGGGGAAACGGATGTAAACTTATGTGTTTTTTGAAAAGTACGTTTATTCTGATCTACTACATGTATTTGTCATGGAAATATCTATATAAATCATATTCATTGGTAATTGATAAAGGAGTAATAAAGCGACTACGACAAAACGGAAAGACGATCAACACAGGCTAATACGATTGTTACCCTGATGTCAAAAAAGTGTATACATGGCGAGTTTCTTTATTTTAAAAACAATAGATTGGAAGAAATAAAGCAAATAATTTCAAACCCAATTACATATATAGGTTTAGAAATTCCTAATATTGTCTCTAAATAATGACCTAAATCCTCTGTTCTTTGTGAAATTAAAGGAAATGGAAGCATACAATCCCTCTCTTGTATTTAACTTAAAATATGAAGTTTACAAAACTGAATAGATGCAACATATGTCTGATATCTAAAAGCAAAACATATCGAATGATCATTGTGCGCAAATCAATCGAGATTATTGGACCTTGGTGATCATGGTGATCCCTGCCTTTGCCTTCTTCAGATTGTTCGCTCTATCTGGGCGTATGACATTTGCGCCGATTTTTTAAATTTTCGATCTTTCATTTGCGCCGATTTGATTTTTTCATTTGCGCCGATTTTGTACAGATAAACTAAAGGTGGATGTTATTTTTTTCTATCATTATAAACCTCTTCCGTTCGCCAGTTGTACATATGTTATGAATGGTCAATTATAACATGTATATAACTGCTGTCCCCTGCAAGTAGATTTTTGTCGTTTTCATCTGGCTCAGAACTGGTGTTACGCTTAACACAGAGTATAAAGACAAATCAAGTGACACTGGTAAATGGCTATCGCAATTTTTCAGGCTACGATTCCTTCCCCCAGATGGAAACGAAGACTGCTTCATGTTTGACATAATGTCTAACGCTCCTTCTGATGACAAATGTCATGCATTGCTAGACTACGTACTACGTACTAAGTACTTATATAAATATAATTATGCTCAACTTTACGTTATGCACCTCATTTCTGGGCAGCTACATCCATTGAAAACTAAGAGGATCGACAAATAACAGTCCAAAATCATTACAATGAACAAATTATAACTTATAACATATATACAATTAGCTAACGTAAGAGGTTTACAATGATAAATAAAAAAATAACGTTCACCTGTATAAATTTACCTGTACACAAATCGGCGCAAATAATAGAAAAATAGGCGCAAGTGAAAGAAAAAATCGGCACAAATGAAATTCAGATCGGCGCAAATGCAAAACGCCGCTCTATCTTATAAGTATCTTTCACTTTTTACTCTTACCTTACTAATAAAAGTTAATCGAGGAAAAGAAGATACAAAGGGGAAAAAGAAGTCGATAAGCTATCAAAAAAAAAAAACTTAAAATGAATACCTTTGTAATAATTGATAGAACTCTTTAATAGATATTGGTCTGTATAAGGAAATTGTAATAATTACCTGTCAGTGTTTGTGATGCCACTACAGCCACAAAATACAACAACGAAAAAGCAACTGACATTTTCTTTGTTACATGTCTGTTTTAACTATCAGAATTATTATGTACCTGGAATGAAGAAGTAATTTTTAATTCGCTTGAACTTCTGGTTATGTAAAAAAAAAATAACACTTCTAGCATATCAAATCAATTTGTGACTACAGGAACCATATATTCATCAATTTTCATCCGCTTTTTGTATAAAAACCAGGAAAAAAAACTTACTTACAAGTACACCTATAATGCTTTTTACATTGAAAAGCACGACTATAGACATTTTCGGAAGCGTGATTAATGCTCAATGCTCTTCAACGTCGTACTTCACTTGGCCTTAATAACTTTGTTTTTGTTTGCGCGTCGCTGGTGAGTCTTTTTTTAGACGAAACGCGCGTCTGGCGTAATTTTTGTTTTAAAGTCTGGTATCTATGACGAGAAAAACGTAACATAACAAAATTACCGAACTCCAAAGAAAATTCAAAATGGAAAATACCTAATCAAATAGCAAAATCAAAAGCTCAAACACATAAAAAAAAACGGAAAAACAACTGTCATATTCCTGACTAGGTACAGGCATTTCCTTATGCAGAAAATAGAGGATAAAACCTGGTTTTATAGCTAACTAAACCGTTCACTTGTTTGACAGTCGCATAGAACTCCATTATATTGACAACTATGTGTGAGTAAAACAAACAGACATAACAGGTAAAAATTTCAAAAAATTAGGGTACAGCAGTCAACATTGTGTTTTAATCTTAATCACTATAAAAACAAGCAACTATGTCAACAAAGAAAACCAAAATGGCATATAGACACTCTATAGACAAAGCACATAGACAAGAATACAAAAAATACCAAAGCACTATAACACAATGTTGGATGTATAAATATACGAGCCACGCAAAAAGAATATTACCAAAAAAGGACTAAACAGTAAAGGTTAAATATATACAAAGACAAATAAAAAGAACACTATAACAATAATTAAGATGATAAGCAACGTCCTTATTAACTGCACGATTTACTCCCTGTAGGATGATTCCTTTGACTCGTTTGTTAACAATTTGCGTTTGTCTCTATGATTAATATGCACATGTATTTATATTAAGAGATAAAGGAGTGTTTCTCGGTCGTGTATTTTATCTAAAATTGAGTAATTCTTCATATCATAAAAGCACAAAATATCAGAAAGGCATTAAAGTTTTAATTTCGCCAATACATAGTAATGCGAATGTCTTATAATCCAACCATGATAATTACAAATACAATTTGATATTTGAAAATTGAAACGCTAAAGTATTTGTAACGTGAGGGTACCCAAAGTGCACCTATTTTGACATTTTTTCACCTACGTTTTTTAACGATCCAGACAAAAGTTACCTTTATGTGTTTATTTTGTAGGTGTATCATTTTTTAATATATAGTTACACCAATTTAATTTTGAATCCATAGTAAATCATAGAAAAATGGGTTTGAACCGACCTCCAAACGATCCATGATTCTGTAATGAGGAGTACCCAAATTGCAACCATGTTTTAATTCACATCCTTAAAAATCGAATAACAGTTGTTTTGTTTTATTTCTTCAAATATTTAGAACAATTTGACATTAGTTCATGCTTAGTATTCATTTTTTTAAGATATAAATGCTTGTAACATATTTTATTTGCTCATTTTTAAAAGATGACTTTTTGTGAACGTCGCATGGCGACGTTCCGTAGATTTTACTTTTTCCAGTGTGCTTCATCTGTTGAAATATATACTGTGAACGTTTTTTTTTTGTATATTTGAACATAGTTACCTTTGTTTATTTGTATTGTGGTCCTGTCATGTGATGTTGTCGTTTTGGTGTTGTGTTTGACGTTGCCATAAAAGCGGGAGGTTTGGCATGCCACAAAACCAGGTTCAACCCACCATTTTTTTCTTAAAATGTCCTGTACCAAGTCAGGAAAATGGCCATTGTTATATTATAGTTCGTTTCTGTGTTGTTACATTTTAATGTTGTGTTTTTGTTGTGTCGTTGTTCTCCTCTTATATTTGATGCGTTTCCCTCAGTTTTAGTTTGTAATCCGGATTTGTTTTTATCTCTATCGATTTATGAGTTTCGAACAGCGGTATACTACTGTTGCCTTTATTTAAAAGACGTCTATATTGTCAAATCATAAATATACAAATTATTTAGTCTCAAAGAAAACTTGTTCGATTTTCGCAGCCATTTTTGTTGAATAGGTGCAATTTAGGTACTCGGTGCAATTTGGGTACTGTGACGTTATGTTGTTGAGTGTATCACATTTCATTCTATATTTTTCGCTGTGGTTTTTAAATGAATATCATTGTTGTTACGTAATTTATAATTGTATAATAGGTACTGAATTTGTTTTATCCCGATTATGACTTCCTTGTACTTTTTATTAAACTACCTTGAAAATAATGTAAACATGAACTTGAACTTGAACTTAGTCAAAGCTCTGAAGGAATGGTGTACTTTGATTTTTTTATTCAATATTGTTATGCAATTTTAAAGAAGGAGATGTACACTTGTAAACTAGTTTTAAGTGCTACAATTCAGTTAAGTAAATACTTTAGGTCTCAACAGTGTGATTCACAATGTTGCACTCAGCCATGATTTATATTTTGCACCGAATGTAGTCTTAATCGGTTTAATATTGAGATTATGTATTGATTTGTAACAAACCTTACATTAACTGTCCGTTTATAAATTTAAAAATTATTAAGAAATTAAGGTTGACACGCTCAGGCAAAGTTGACCTTAGAAAGATTTGGCTATTATTCTTATTTACTATTTCATAAAGTGTTGTTTTCATTTTTAGTTTAATAGTGAAATTTGTGTCCAATTTTGTGACTTTATACATGAGCTTCTGATGAAGCATGAAAGGAGACTGGCATTATCTTTTAAATTCACAATGCGTTATACAGATGGTGTCCTCTCACTAATTAATTCAAATTTTTGTGACTTATCTATTCCAACTTGAAATAAAGGTTACCATAGATACAGTTAATTATGCAGGCTTAATAACGGGTTGCTGCTTTCAACGAAGTTATACGTTCCAATTGTCGTAATCACAATGCGGTCCACTTTTCCGCGATTGTCACATTACCGAATGAGACTCGTTACTGAAGTAGTACTTATCATGAGCAACACGACGCGTGACATTGGATTAGCATGACATACTTACCCTTCCGGAGCAACTGAAACAACACCCAGGTCTTTGATGAGGTCCGTGTTGTGAAGTCTTTAGTTTCCGTTGTAGCGTTTTGTGAAATAATTTATCTTTATGTCATCTTTAGTATTTTGCTTTGGCGTTCTAAGTTTTATGTCGACTTATGAGTTTTCAATGAATATTCATAATGGAATAATAAGAGAGGAGGTAAACTATTGTTGCCACTTAATTAGATATTAAATAAGACAAGTATAGCTTGCCACCCCTTAGAAATTAAACCTTTTATCAAAATTAAAATTTATTGAAATACACGTCGCTGCATAATGCAATTGATTGGGATAGCATGTGTACTGAATCATAGCTGTATTCAGTTGGACTTGAAGAACTGTTTTAAATTGGACTTGCAGGAACTTTATTTTCACCATTTAACTTTTAAATTATTTCATTACAAGGTTGTAAAACAAAGTGAATGCTGTATTCTTATCCACAGCAATATTGTTTTGTTTAAGAATATATGTTCAACTTTTAATTCTGAAAATCTGCAAAAGGTTGAAATACATTTGATTTTCGGTCCAAATTGGTCCCAAATCGATCCTTGATTTAAAACATACTTTTCTAAAATCTCCGTTGATAAATTAAGAAATTATTAAGAACGTTAGGTTTCCCAATTCCCTCAGACAAAATTGATCTTAAATGAATTTGGTTAATGTTCACGTCCCTTTTTTTCATGAAGCTCCAAATGTGTCTTGAATTTGATCAAATATACAGATTATTCAGCGCAGTTATTATATGTATACGATCGAAATATTTTGTTTTCTGTCATTATTTTCTTAAATGACATGACAAAGGGTTGCTGCTTACAAGGGGGCTATTTTTGAGACGTAACAGTCAAATTGTAAAATTCTCATATTTGACCTAGAGTGACTTTGTATCTTTTCAATAGATTTATGAGCTGTGACCATCGATCAACTACTATTGCCTCTGATGTGCATATGGCGTTTTGGCAAAATTATATTTGAGCCAAGGAAATTATATAAGTGCAGCGTTATGCAATGAATATTCGTGACCATCAGTTTTTGCTATATATTTCATATGTAATTTACCCACTTTAACACAATGGAATAAATCATTTTGTATGGAAGTTCTAATATTAAACTCAAAAGGAGGCTATTTGGACAGGTTTTCCAGGTTAACATCTTATGCGGTAAGTTTTAAGATCAACGGAAAATAATGTAAGACCCTATTAATATGAATACTAATATCCAACAGATGTTTGTCTTGTGAATATCTGAACCGTGTTATTTGATAGATTTGATCTGATTTTTCAATTATATGTCCAATAAAAGGGACCTTACCCTCTGTTCTAGACTGTATGCCTACCATTAAGTATTGCAATTCATTGTCATTAAAGTTATGTGAAGTTTGTTACATGGCATTATACAGGCAGCAGTTAAATTAATGAAACCGTATTAACGATATTAGTTTTTATTTTGATATTTTCTTGTGTTTTGTTAATGGTCTTGCATTGTATATCGTTTTGGTAGGTTGTTTTAACATCAAGTACCTTTTAAAATATTAATACAATATAAAAATTCATTTTGACTCCTTTAGTATTTTCAATAGATAATTTTGTTATTTTAATATGTTAGAATTGAGAATGGAAATGGGGAATATGTCAAAGAGACAACAACCCGGCCAAAAAGGAGATTAGTATACATTTCTCTCATTTCAGGGCTTGTGTCGTTTTCTGTGCCTTGACATGTAATCCTAAATTTTAACTTTCAACTTGATCTTGCAGAGCCAAAGCATAAGTACATAGTATCAACAAGATGTAGAACCATAAGTTTTCATAACTGTATAGCAATACATCTTTAGTCATGTTACATTTTTTTCAAATTTAGAATCAATGTTAGAACCGACAAAAACAATATCCAAAAATCTTACTGCGGTGTTAAATTGATAACCTTTAAAAATAATTGTATTCAAATGATCAATGAGTTTACATGGATAGTATATAATTTTACTGGCTCTATGAACAACATCTTCTCTGGATGTGACATTCCGTTTTTAATCAGAATTTAACAGGAACAGCCAAACTTTCAAACAAAATGTTTGTATCTATGAAAGAAGTTAATAAAGGTTTCGGGTAATTTGGGGTAACGAAATCCCTGATTACGTTCTTTGAAATCCAAAACGTCATTACAGACACAGGCATAGCGAACGAGTTTAGAAACATGCACACCGTAAGAAGGGGCCATATGAACATCACCTTTCATAAAATGAAAATGAACAATACGGAACGAAAAATCTTCTCTTTTGTCGTAAATCTATGTATAGAGTTACCCCCATGAAACTGTTTATTTCAAATTCAAGTTCAAATTCGACCTCAATACAGGTGTACATATTGATTTTATTTCTATTCTATGAAAATTATTTATTTTTTAACCAGCGATTACAATTTCTAATGCAAATATTCAGCAAACATAATGATATTCTGATATTAATGTCTTTTCAAGTGAAGTGGCTCGTCTAGACGAAATAAACCTGAAGATAACACCTTAAAGATTTGAACCATTTCTTCAGATTTACTAAGATCAAACTCGTGTGAAGTCTACGTATCCTTTTGAGAAACACTTCTGAAAATATGAAATATACTTTCATATTCTTTAAATTGCTCACCTCAAAAAACAATAAATTACTCCAAAATGTCCAGCATTTGACATATTGAAATCTTGTAGCCAGTTCTTTTACATGATTAAGTGCAAGGGTTAGCGAGTAGAAATTGCGATGTTTCAACATGTGAATTTTTCTTTTCTTAATAACAGGTTGCTTTCACAAATTTGTTTATGCCCCACCTACGATAGTAGAGGGGCATTATGTTTTTCGGTCTATGCGTCCGTTCGTTTGTCCGTCCGTCCGTGCGTCTGTCCCGCTTCAGGTTAAAGTTTTTGGTCGCTTCAGGTTAAAGTTTTTGGTCAAGATAGTTTTTGATGAAGATGAAGTCTAATCAACTTGAACCTTTGTAAACATGTTCCCTATGATATGATCTTTCTAATTTTAATGCCAAATTAGAGTGTTGGCCCCAATTTCAAGGTCCACTGAACATAGAAAATGATAGTGCGAGTGAGGCATCCGTGTACTATGGACACATTCTTGTTTTTTTTATATTATATTGAAAGATAAACTGGATTTCTTTATAACAGTCACCACCTCAATGACAGTGTGTTAACTCTTCAAAGACATGTTTTCTTGGTTTTGATTTGTAACGATACCAGAAAAGTCTTCCGAAAAACGTTTGCTATAGAAAAGAAGGATATAGGATATCCACCACAATAAAAATGACATGACACAAAATCAGTACATGCACAGCAAAATACACAAAAAGCAAAGGAACATCGCTTTTATTGCTGTTCTTCAGTAGTGTCGATTTATGTCATGTTCTTTCTCATAACCGTGATAGGAGTTGTTAACCGTGATAGGAGTTGTTAACCGTGATAGGAGTTGTTAACCGTGATAGGAGTTGTCTGTGATAATTGAAACATGTAAACGTCATTCAATAGAACAGAGGTTATGTAACAATGCTGTTGTAACATGCCACATCGCTGGATATGACTACATTCTGTATTCTAATAGATGACAGGAATCATTAGTGGAACAGTAACACCCCTTTGGAAAACTTGTGTTCAACCCTGGTTTTTGATAGATTCATTGTTACTCAATCTTTAGCATGTTTAGTTGTCTGTGTAATGTTTATTATTGTTAGTTGTCTATTCATCGTTTGTATTTTTGGTCGGGGTGCTGTTTGCTTATTTTTTTATTTTTTTTGGGGGGAGGGGGTGCTTTGATTTTCAACGTCCACACCACTTGATACACACAAACATATCTGCTTTCGCTTTTAGATACTGAAAACTCGGCCCGATCGATGAAATTATCGTGCTTGTCATAGATGTGAGAGTCACATTGTAACATCATCAACTGAACCAGATACAATAAAAGTTGACATGCAATTTTTCTTTCTACTAATTTAATTTAGCTTTCGAAGCTTTTAGACGGAAATTTAAAATACATAAGGAGGTTTAAAAGAAGAAAACAGGAAATTAACATATAAAATTATTATTAATTTAAGATGTTATTTTTTTAATTTTATAATTAATTCGCTATGTAAAGAACCCTTAGCACTGACTATAACTAATATATAGGACTTTAACTTTGGCAACGTGACGTATGTCACTAGTAGGGCAGGAATTTCTCGCCCTCCCTTTCGGATAACCGTGATGAGATCCTTCCGCTATTTGGTATAGTTATTGGTTTGTGAAGTGTTTTAGTCTTCTCCGTATTATTTGCGGATTAATTTTTGCCACATTATTCTATGGTTATGTCTGTTCTTTTTTTTATTTATTAATTTGATTTTTTTATTGTCCGCTTGATATTTTCTTACTTTTTTCATGCAAATAGGTAAATATATAAATGAATGAATGTGAATGAATGAATGAATGAATGAATGAATGAATGAATGAATGAAAATTATTAATTAATAAATAAATACATACATATTAATTAATCTATCAGTAAGACTCACAAATGATTCCAACCATGATATTTAACTACAAGTTTTTGATTCAAATGTGAACATGCAGTTGCATGTGCTATGATGAAACAGTTTAACCTTCCTTATAGTATAAGGTTTATGATCGACTATTGGTTCACTATAAGATGCCTCAGTATTGTCATACTTTATAAATGCAATAGTTAATTACTATTTAGTAAACAAGTTATGAAATAAATATTTTAATTATAAATATGCTAATTTTCCTTTCAGGTATGTTTTTTCTACTATCACAACAGGTATCACATGGGTAACCCAGTACATTTAACTTTACATGTTTTACAGTCTCACACAATACAAGTAATACCAAATTTCACATTTATATATAAAGTTACTGCTTTTGATTTTTCTGTCAATATACAAAGGTTAGAAAGGGATGAATTTAACACTTGAAAGTATTTAACTAGCATCATAAATCTTGTTTTACATGGGAATTGTTTGAAAGCTGGATTGAAGCAGAATGCTTCTTTTTTTCTGCAGTGATCAGTCTGGTTGAAACCAGAACCTTATTTCCTTTTGATGTTTTGAGAAGTTTAAAGCTAGCAAAAAAAAATGGGATTTAAAGGCTTTAACTGTATAGAGTTTGATAAACTTTACCGATGAATTCATTTTAATTTTGCTAATGCAGAGGCTTGGGGAAAATATTAATATTATCAGGGGTCAGAATTTATTTTTAATTCTGTTTCCTTTTTGTATTGTGAAAATAATTGTTTATTTTATTTCTCCTATGACGGATTTATCGAAACCAATATAAAAGTAACTATTATATTTCCATTCATTCAGACTAGGACAAGTGTCTATATGTTGTCCAGTAGATGTCTTTTCGTTTTTTTTGGCATCCTTGTGCTGCCGTTTTATTACGTATACCCCGCATCTCTTTTATTTATGTGTAAAATACTGAAGATCTACAGGTTTAGTTTTTTTTTTTATATATATACATATTAATGAAAAAGCTGGAAGACGGTGTATTGATTTATGACCAACTACCCTTACATGCACTTGACAAAGTCTAAAGCAAAAGTATCAGCGCTTGCATTTCTCAGTGTTCTTCATCTCAGAACCACAATGAAACAGAAGCTCACTGCAAATTAAAGACGACCGCCAGCACCGGTGTGAGAGGAATCATCTACTACATATCGACCAACGACATCGCTACATAAAAGAACACAGGTGCATTCGAAGATTTTTTTATATATAAATCTTTATCAGGAAAACTGAGAGCCAGAAGTTCAGCAACCCAAATAGAATGAATTATAACAAAGTATGTTTGGTTCCCGTCAAGCACATAACTTGATGGTTGAAAATTTTAGACTTAAATTATCTCCTTGTATTTTGATAAAGAGAAACAAGTTGTTCAATTTTCAAAATCAACCGATCCCTTAATGTTTCTTGATAGCCGTAGATATATCAAATTACGTTCTATTGATTTGATTGCAATTTCCCAACTAACAATTTAAAGGATAAATATACCAATCATCATCGAAATTCAAAGAGTTTAATATCCAAACAAAAAAGAAAATAAAAACCGAAAAGCACATCACGAGAACACGCCAAATGTTTCTGAATTTGCAAAGGCATTTAACGACAAAAGTGGAATTATTTACAGATCTGTGTGTGGAAGTGTGAAATTTGTTAATGGTATTTAATCCTCGAACATATTTTTTTTAGAATAACATACCTGCAAAAAGTCAATACGAAAGTATTTGCCTTATTTATTCTTAAGTACATATTAGGTAATTAGATGATTTTATTTAACTTTGATCCTAATTTTTCTGAAATTTTACAAAAGGAGCAAAGTTTGTACTTTGTTTTACTTATATCGCAACTTTTTCTTTGTATTTTGCATTTGTTTTGGTAGAACATACGTACCTATAATGTTTGCGTCATTATTATTCAATGTTTATGGTTTATATTTCTATTTGGCCAATCCCGTTAGCTGTTCTTGCAATGAATATGTTTAAACTAAAAAACAAAACTAAAAAAGTCTTTGTACAGAAAACATGTTTAGCAGATAGTTTATTTAGAAAAAAAAATATTTCAAAATAAATATTTTTATCTGAAGTTCATCTCTGTAATCAATACGCTACAGGTAAAAACCATTGACAACTAACGCAACAAACGAAATCTTACGCTGAAGTTATTTTCCTAAGGATTTAAACTAAACAAATGATACGACAATGAGAGAAAATATATAGTCATTTGAGACGACAAAAATAAAACTCTATGAACTCTTTATTTGATAATAATATGCATGTGCTTACAATTGAAACTTGGGCTAGGCATATACAGAATGTGGCGAGGTTTAATGTGTTTGTGGGCGAGCGACCCTTCCCTACCTGGGACAGCACAACATCAATTGTTTGTGGGCGAGCGACCCTTCCCTACCTGGGACAGCACAACATCAATTGTTTGTGGGCGAGCATCCCTTCCCTACCTGGGACAGCACAACATCAATTGTTTGTGGGCGAGCGACCCTTCCCTACCTGGGACAGCACAACATCAATTGTTTGTGGGCGAGCATCCCTTTCATACCTGGGACAGCACAACATCAATTGTTTGTGGGCGAGCGACCCTTCCCTACCTGGGACAGCACAACATCAATTGTTTGTGGGCGAGCAACCTTGCCATACCTGGGACAGCACAACATCAATTGTTTGTGGGCGAGCATCCCTTCCCTACCTGGGACAGCACAACATCAATTGTTTGTGGGCGAGCATCCCTTCCCTACCTGGGACAGCACAACATCAATTGTGTGTGGGCGAGCATCCCTTCCCTACCTGGGACAGCACAACATCAATTGTTTGTGGGCGAGCATCCCTTCCATACCTGGGACAGCACAACATCAATTGTTTGTGGGCGAGCATCCCTTCCATACCTGGGACAGCACAATATCAATTGTTTGTGGGCGAGCATCCCTTCCATACCTGGGACAGCACAACATCAATTGTTTGCGGGCGAGCAACCCTGCCATACCTGGGACAGCATAACATCAATTGTCTGTGGGCGAGCAACCCTTCCATACCTGGGACAGCACAACATCAATTGTTTGTGGGCGAGCAACCCTGCCATACCTGGGACAGCACAACATAAAAATCAATTGTTATAATAAGTTAGTTTATCTCATAAGATCAACAAGAAGCTCTCAAAACAACTCACAAATTTCTAAAACAAAAAGACAAAAAAACATTAGAACTGATCTACGAGTAATCGCACTTACTGAAAGCTAGTTCAAAACCATCACTAATAAATGGATAAAGTTTTCCCATGCAGACTTAATTATTCAATTTCACGAAATGTCAGTCAGTTACATTGTAAGTCAAAACATTAGGCACTAACTAGTTTTCTGTTAACACATTATTCATGAAATCGTTGCAGCCCCTACATTTCACATTCTCCTACCGCTAGACAATAGAACCATACATAGCAACCTACACCTACATCGGCAAATGCAGTCAGCCGAACACAGCTATAGATATTCATTTATCCACGCACATTTATATACAATGGAGTTAATTCCCACAACAAATAAATATTGTTGCATGCAGTACAGTCTAGAGTTTTTTAGAGTATGATAACAGAATCTGCTCTAATATGAAAATAAGAAGATGTGGTATGTTTGCCAATGAGACAACTCTCTACCAGATACCAAAATGACATACAAATTAACAACTATAGGTCACCTTACAGACTTCAGTAATGAGCAAAACCCATTCCGCATAGTAAGCTATGAAAGGCCCCGAAATGATACATATTTTTTACTACTAACTTAATATATGGTTATCAAATGTATATATTTATCTACATGTAATTTTTCAGATTTTCATATATGTTTCTTTGTTTTTTTATTGGGAAAGGGGGCGGTGTTTGTAAATAACAAATATTTTTTGGTCGACTTCCAACGCATAATCTTTAATAACAAATCATATGAAGGATCGCTAGAAACTGAAAGAAGAAGACGGACCATTGATTTTTCTCGTTATTATGGGATGGCCTTTGTTTTTTTTTAAATAAATTATATGATTCTAAATTACTTAAAACAAAATGATTTCTTTCAGAAGGGTAGAAAACAAAAATTCAACTAAGAAAATAGACCCTCCCCCATCCCATCCTGTTCTCTTCCCCCATTAATAAATGGTCTGTGCCTTACATATATTGACGACTTTTCTATATATATAGAGAGAAATTCATTGATCAAATGTCCGTTTACCATGGTTTCCGAATTAAAACTTTCTGATTTGCCCTAATTCCAATACGTTGTAATAGAATAAGAGTCTTTTTAACAAGACTAAAATAATAATAATAATATTCGTTTTTATACAAATGATTGTTTTCATTAATGTAATTAAGAAATGCTGATTTTTAAGATAGCGTTGGTTTTCATAATTTCATAATAATACTAATAAAATCCTTTTAGTAAACTATAGAATGCATTATGTTTTGAGATACTCGTAATGAATTTCATTATCTGTGTTTATAAACTATAATCTTGTCACTGTTTGCTAACATATTGTTCAATCAGTATGAACAAACTGAATAATATCAGATTTATATCAAAATTTACTAAAACTATATATACAGTACTTCTAATCGTCGAATCAAAAAGGGTAAATTCAACTGTTTTGAAATAAAGAATAAATTAATAGGAATAACCATTTAAAAATGTATTAAGAACAATTATTTGTCTTTGTAATTCAGACTTCCGAAGGTGCCTAAAAACTATAAAACATAGAAAGGTGTATTTGTATGTAATTACCGTTCTATTTTCTTGAATGTTTTCCTGTTTGAAAATATCTCCTGCGCATTCTCTGCTTCCGTTCTGTTATCAGAAGTAACTACAGTTAGTGTCTGTTGTAATCTTACACATAGTTATACCCTTCTCCACTGCCTTAGTGTTAACAATAAAGAATGAATGACCGGGAAACTGACGGAAAACGCAAAACAGAAAACTCTAAAAAATACTCTTCCCGCTTATCACTTTAAATGCTGATATCATTACTTAAATAACAAACATCATACCCCATATCACTAAACGCAAAAACGTACCTGACAACAAACCAGCCCTGTAGAAATTCCCTTCCTATCAACCATGATATGTGTATAACCTCTGATAAAATTGACCACTACTGTC